CAGCGAGTTGCCTGTGGTGAGTTTTCAGGCGGCAAGTTGGCAGTGGCGCATTATCAGATGGCGATTTGACTTTGGCGTCCCATAACAAGTTGGCTGTGGCGAGTTGTCACGCAGCGACTGTGTTGAGTCGTCCCATTCCGCTTTTGAGATGGGTTCCACAGATTGTCCAGGACTGTTGGAAAATAGATGCACGAGATCTTTCTGAACTAATGTATCTTCTTCCTGGCAGCTCTGGCGTGGGACGCACGGGTGCCTTCTGCCTCCTCTACGCCGCCATGCAGGAGGTGGAAGCCGGCAACAGCATCCCGGATTTGGTTCAGCTGGTGAAGCACATCCGCCGGCAGAGGAAGCACATGCTGCAGGAGAAGGTACGGAGGTGGGCAGACCGGGCTCCGGAATAGTGGAGGTGGCCACACACAGGGGATCTTGACGGACAGCTTCTCTTGCAGGTCCACCTCAGGTTTTGCTACGAGGCGGTCCTGAAACACGCCGTGCAGGTGTTGCAGAGACATGGCGTGATGGCCGCGGCCTCTGCCAGCAAGCCAGCCAGCAGTAGCTCCCAAAAGGTGAGAAAGGAGGGGTTGCCTAATGGTTGGTTGGAGAAAGGGGAGGATTTGGGGGTGGGGGAGGCAGCCCCTTGAACCCCTGTGGATGCTTCAGAGGGGGGAGGCTGAAGGACCCAGGAGAAAAAGCTCTTATTTAAGCCACGTGTGTCCTGAATAGGACGTGAATTCCTAGGTGGGGCGTTCTGGGAGTTGAAGTCCACAAGTCTTAAAAACTTTGGACACCCCCAGCCACCCCAGTATAGGCGATGACCTTCGCACTACAGGCAATCCTCACTGTATGGCCGCAATTGTGCCCCCAAATTTATGTTGCTAAGCAAGACTTTGTTAGGGAGGTTTTGTTCCATTTTACACCTTTTTTTCACCACTTAGGTTAAGCGAATCGCGGAAGTCCTTAAGTTGGTAACCTGGTTGTTAAGTGAATCTGGCTTCTCCATTGACTTTGATGGCTAGAAAGGGGGAAATCATGTGACCCCGGAGACGCTGCAACCGTCATAAATGATAGTCAGTTGTCAAGCATCCAAATGTCAGGATGCTACAACGGTCATCAGTGTGAAAACTGGTCATAAGTCTCTCTTTTCACTGATGATGTAACGGTCACTAAGTGAAGTGGTGTAAAGTCAAGGACTATGTACTCTGTTCAGCCTCCCACTCTCTCCTTCCAGGTGTATCTCCAGCAGGACCCCCAAGATCTGGTCTTGGGGGGTGACGTCCCCATCAGTTCCATCCAAGCCACCATCGCCAAACTCAGTATCCGGCCTCTCCCAGGCAGTGCTGAGCCTCCCCCCAATGGCCGAGGGTTGGAGGTGGCACCCTCTGTGCCCTCCTTTGATGCTGCACTCCCGCCGGCATCGTCTTCCGCTGCTCCGCGAATCTTTCCCGAGCCGGGCTGCATGGAGAGCACTCTGGGGTTTTCTCCGCCGGTCACACCTGCTCCGGCATTGCCCGAGACGGCCGCTTTGACCGTTGAGACAAGCAGCTCCATGGAAGAGGAGAGAAGTGAGGAGAAGGTGGAGAGCCTTCCGAGGGTAGAGCCATTGGCCTCCACGCGGGCCCTGCCTACCTCCTCCTCCTCCTCCTTGGACCTCCTGGCTTCGCTCACCCCAGAGGCCTTCACCCTGGACAGCTCACTTAAGGGCCGGCACAAAGTGAGCAAGCAGAGTTTCCTCCAGCCGCAGAACGGGGAGGGTCTGCGAGGAGCCCTTCCCAGTGATGACCCTCTCAGCAAGCTGGACCCCCTCTGGACCCTCAACAAAACCTGAGTGGATACAACAATGGCCCCCTCTCCATCCTCCTGGACCTACCTTCCTCGTTTCTGGTGGAGTTCTGGGCAAGACGGCGGTGTATCGGTCAGAGACCGGCCACCCCAGGTACGCCATGCTGCCTCTGGAAAACTCTTGCCGTGCTTACGGGTCGTTTGAGACCCGGCAAACGCGGCAATGCCGGACACTCTGAATGGTTACCAGTTGCCTTTTCATCCCGCCTCCTCTCAGCCCCAGTCAAGGCCACTGACCGGGACCACGTGTCTGTTACGGTTCGCCTCGATGGCAGGGCAGTTGAGCCGGGAGCAAAGCTGCAACTCCAGCCGGCTTCCTTATATACCTGCTCAAAGCTTTGGGGGCTGATGGGGGTGGGGGCACAGACGGTTCAGCGGTTCAACACTCAACGCACACCCTACGGCCATACTCTCATTTTAGTCTCCCATTCTACAGCGAGTAAACTTGGGACGAGCCACTAAAGGCTGGGGTCTCCTACACCACCCGTTTCTCATTCCCCCCCTCCCCCGATGACAGTTGGTAGGACTTGAGATGATCCAGTTGATCCTGCCAAATTGGGGGAGTGGGGAGCTGGGGTCCCCAGATAAGTAGGGAAGCCTTGGTTGGTTTCCTTAAATGGCCAGATTCGTTTTCCCAAAGGTTCTGTTTTTCTATTGTGTCCCCACCCCCCTCTTGAAATGCCCAGGCCCCTGACTCAGAGGCACGGGGGTCTCCTGCTGTTTGGGCCACCCTCCGTCCAGTGATGCTGAATATTGAGCCGCATGGGCTACGGAACCTGTTTTAACGGCTGTCGAAAAATAGGTGCGGATGCCCTTAGCGGACGGTGTGGCCCCCAAAGCAGGCATCCCACACTCCAAGGAACGGGGAGCAGTGGGACAGCTGAAATGAGCCCCCCCCTTCGCCCCCGGACAGAAAAGCACGGGGAGACTGGCTGCTTTCTCCCCCAAAGAACGTTGATAAGTTGCAGGTTCCACCAATCATTGCTTTGCCTTGACCAGTCTTGGAAAATGTTTTAATTTTTTCTTTTCTTCTTTCTTCTGTACAAATGTTAATATTGGCTTCTGGTTTCCAAACTTCCAGTGTAACTTAGGAACCAAACTTTTTCAGTTCTTTGCTACGAAAGCAAATAAAGGGGGCATTGGAGATGGTATCGCTGTCAGATTGTTTTTTCTTCTTCCTTAATTTAACATTGAGCCTTGGTGGCCCAGCAGACCAAAGCGCTGTTAAGTAGCACCAGCTGCCTGCAATTACTGCGAGTTCAAATCTCACCAGGCTCAAGGTTGACTCAGCCTTCCATCCTTCCGAGGTAGGTAAAATGAGGACCCGGATTGTGGGGGCAATAAGCTGACTTTGTATAAAAAAGAACACCGCTAAGCAGGTATATACAAAAGTATGAAGGCTATTGCTTAACGCATTGTAAGCTGCCCTGAGTCTCTGGAGAAGGGCGGCATATAAATTGAACCAATAAATAAATAAATAAACAAACATTTAATTTATTAAATTTATTGACCTATCTTACCCACAAGGTAACTCTGCATGGCTTAAAGTTAAAAACTACTACTATCTATGTCTGTCTGTCTGTCTAGCTCTATCCATCCATCCCTATCTTCTATATCATGATCTCCCTACATCTATTTTCTTCCTCTCTCTTCTCCATCTCCCTATATCCATCCATATCTGTTGGTAGGTCTGTCTCCATCATCTATCATCTTCCTCTTTTCTCTGCCTGTATCCATCCATCCATCCATCCATCTATATATCATCTATTTACATATTTACCAATCTCAGCTATCACCTACCTACCTATCTACCTACCTACCTATATCACAAGGGTGTCAAACTCAAAGGCCCAGGGGCCAGATCCGTCCCACGGAGTGCTTAGATCTGGTCCAGGGGCCCACCCTGGAAACAGTGAAGGACAGGCGCAGGGTGCCTCTGCCAACAAAAAGAGAGCTCGGGGAGGCCACCTGTGCGCCCCCCCCCCTCCCAAGTTCAGTTTTTGCTGGCAGAGGGCCGCAGGAGGCCGTCGCAGCCAAAAACTGAGCCCAGGAGTGCTGTCGTGGCCAAAAACGGATCCTCAATGAGTGACATCGAGCTGGCCATTCACACCTGGCCATGTACCCCCCCCACCCCACAGTCCGCCAAGATCAAACAACCCTGATGTGGCCCTCAATGACATAGAGTTTGACATCCCTGATCTATCATCTCAATCATCTTATCTATCCATCCATCCCTTTGAGTGGCGCTTCTGATGTTTCGAATTGCCCACAAGACACCCATAAATATTGATGTATTTGCCATTCATCTTCCACAGCTGGAATTTGGAGAAGCCGAGGGAGCCTGGCTAAGGCAGTGGGTGCTATTTTGGGGCATAAATCTGTCACTCCAAACGTACGGTGGCATCTCGGCATTCGACTGCTTCAAAACTCATTGAATTTGGTACTCGACACTTTTTGACCCGAAAATGCCCTGGCGCTCACCTTTTGCGTGGTACTCGACACAGTGCAAAAAGGAAGTGGAACACAACCACAGAGAGGCGAAAGGAAGTTGGCCGTGCTCAGAAGCTCACTGCCATAGGAAAAGGGACGGATAGGAAGTCCCTCCCGGCTGAAACGAAAGGTCACCATTGTAAATCACATGGTTTGTTTGCTATTCTTTTTTTTGTTTGTTTGTTTAGTGCTCATTGCACCTCCTACAGCCAATTAAGCACGAGTACCAAGGTATCACCATATTTCTCTTTTTTAAAAGGGGGATTATTGCTTCAGCGACCCTTCGTAGTTGGAATTATGCCTTTCTAGGCAAGCCATTTCTTTCTTGCACCCGCTTCCATGCAAGTGAAAGGAATTTAAAAGACATCATGGTAGTTTGTTCCTCCGCTCGACTTCCCCAATCTTTCTGGCTTTGCGGACCAGCAGGGAGGGAAGAGGGGATGGTTCCACGTGAGAGGCAGGCAAGTTTACCCGCTGTACCCCCTTGCGAGCAGCGGGCATACGCCTGCTTGCGTGAATGGCGCATACGCGGACGTGCTCACTGCTGCTCGCCCACTTTCTGCGGCCTGATTCCGAACAGTTTACGGCCCGGGAATGAGCCAGGGGTTGTGGACCTCTGCTCTAGGGCAGAAAAACGATTTCCGGTCTCCCCCCAAAAACCACAGGAAGCGGGAAGTTAGTTCTCTTTTAATGTGCCTGTACACGTTACAAAACACAATCGTGTATAAAAGCATCTACCGTACAGTCGAAAGGGTACAGCAGAGCTAAGGCCACTGAAGGCATTGTATGGGCACTGGATCCCAATCCGGGGAAGGGGGGGGAGATGTGGGCTGACAGGGGAGGGAAGAGGGGCTCGGTCTGTCTCGCTTTGCACAGCTTTCCTTGGACTTCCCCACTTTGAGATGTGTGGCCTTTATTCAGAATACATTTACTTAGCAATCATAATTACGACTTACAAACAAAACGAGGACTTGCGAGCTGAATTTGAATTTCTGATGGTCAGCACCCCCATTGCGGTCATGTGACCACACTTGGACCCACGGCCCTATTTGCAGCATCCTAGGAACCAATTCCCCGGTGATTTGCCTGACCACAATTTATGACCATTTTGTCCATATGAACCACTTCCAGTTTTCGGCATAAATGTGCCGGGATGAACAATGGGTTCACATCAGGAGTGGGTTCTACTTACCTTTGCTACTGGTTCGCAATGTGGCTGCACACGTGCTCTCCGCGTGCACAGAAGCTTTTGTGCATGCACAGAAGCGTTCTGATGACAGCAGGGTCAGTGGGTGGAGCCTTCCGCTGGTTCTACTACCGGTTCTATAGAACCAGTGCGAACCGGGGGCAACCCACCACTGGTTCACATGATTTTTGTGCTGTTTAAGAACCGCTGACAAATATGTTGCGAATCGGTCACACAATTGTGGGATGCTGCGAGCAGACTGGCCTGTTTTACAGCTATCGTGGGCAGGGCTGTTGTGGCCACAACTCGAGGACTGCCTGTACCCCAACTCGCCGTGGGAAGTCCACACGTCAGGAAATGGCCATGGTTAAGAACACGGGGGAACGATTTAGCCCCACCACATTCAGTCTTGGATGCGAGGCAGCCTCCGACCTCAGCAGCTGAGCCCCCAAGCCTCCTGCTGCCAGCGAGTGGGCAGACACATCCCTACAAGCAGCAGTCCTAAATTATAAATAAGCTAGTTCCTACATGAATGGTTTGAAATTAAGAAACGAACCACGTATTCTAGCTGCTCTTCCTGAACGTTCCTCATGTCTTTTGGCCAACTCGAATTCCCATTACGGTTGATTCTCCCAGGGCGGCACCCGCATCGGCTCAGCAGACAAACTTAATTTTACAGTAGCCCCCTGGACACAAAACTCTACATGATGCTAAACTGCCTCGGCTCACTGCAGGAACTGCGTGTCTGTCCAGCGCAGACATTGGATTTGGGGGTGGGTTCTACTTACCTTTACTACCGGTTCGCAACGGGTTCTGCGAGTGACGTAAGGATCAGTGGCCGGAGCCTCCCGCCTGTTTTACTACCGGTTCTATACAACCGGTCTGAACCGGGGGCAACCCACCACTGATTGGATCTCTGAAAACTGCCATGACTCAGTTGAATCGTGGTCTGGGAAGGCAAGGTTGGGACGCTCCATCTTTACTGGGGTGGGGTGGGGGGGACACAGCAATGCCCACAGCCTGTAAAGCCGCCCTGAAGTCCACGCTGGGCAGGTTTAATGCCAAAGCAAGGCGGAGTTGGTGGCATCCCGTCCCTGATCCTTAACCTAGACTGCTTACGGCAGGCAGCGTCTCTCTCCCCTTCTCTCCCCCTCATGTGCTGGAATAAATAACTATGTACAGCAGAAATAAATACAACGGGGAGTAACGGCGCCCACGTTTTCATGGCTCACTGGCCAAGGCCTTCGGGGGTGGGGGTGGGGGTTGAATTGATCTGGCTCATTTCGTAACCTCTTTCTGTAGCCTTCCGAGCATGCCCCCCCCCCAATGAATCGGCTCAGGTGATGGGGGGGGGCTAAGGGGGCACTGGGGAAGCCCTCCCGTTCCTTGCTCCCAAGCGATTTGTTTGAGGACTCCTGCGTGGCCAGATTCAGCACCCACCCAAATTTCTGCCGCAGGACTGCAGAAAACTCTCCTGCCTGGCTCACCAACTGTTCCCCGGTGTCCACCCACTGCAGCCCTTGCGGAACTGTGGCCCTGGCCTCTTGTCCCCGCCTCATCCCCCAAATGCAGAGAATTAGAAGATTCAACATTTAGCCTCCTTCCCGTTCTTCTACTGGACAGAAAAGTTCGCCAGTCATCTTCCCTCCACCGCCGGGGCGTCCAGAAGCGGCTCAAAAGGGATGGGACGGGTAGGGGTCTCTGGATTCTCGTCATCTGCTCACACACACATCCCACTTTCAGTCTCGCTTCTCGAGCACCGACGGCACGTAAACCAGGTTGAGTTCGCTGCCGAAGTTGCAGACGATGGCCGCGTTCTCCAGCACCAGGATCTGCCGGGCCGGCTGTGATTCGTTGCTCTTGCCCAGGTAGACAGTCTGCAGCAGGTCGCCGTAGCCGATGTCCCAGAAAGAGACGCAGCCTTGACCGCCAGTGACCAGAAGATTATCTGAGATCACGCCCAGGCTGGCCCCACAGCCCATGTCCTGTGTAGAGAGCAAAGCGGGGAAAAGGGGTCAGAGGCGAAGCTCGGCGGACGGGAACCGCCGTTGGTAGCAGCAGGTGATGTCAAATCTCCAGGTTTCGCACTTCCCATGTTCAGAGGATCTACCCCAGTGTTCCTCAACCTTGGAAGCTTGAAGATGGGTGGACTTCAACTCCCAGAATCCCCCAGCCAGCGCTGCTGGCTGGGGGATTCTGGGAGTTGAAGTCCACCCATCTTCAAGCTACCAAGGTTGAGAAACTCTGATCTACCCCAAAGGTCAGTCCTTCACTGTTTGCAGGGCGGCCCCCGTGGGCCAAATCTCAGCACCCTACGGGCAGGATCTGATACCCCTCATCTAGACCAGGAGTCCCCAACCCCTGGGACATGGTACGGCCAGCTCGATGTCACTCATGTCGGGGGCACCTGTGGTGTCCTGGGTGGGGCTGAGAGATGAGTGACATTGAGCTGGCCACGCCCACCCTTCCCACCCAAGGTCAAATACAACCCTGATGCGGCCCTCAATGAGCTTCACAACTCTGATCTACACCACTAGGTAGAGAAGCAGCAAAGGGGGTCCTCGGAAACCCACCTGCTGAATGGAATAATGTTTGATCCCCGAGGCCCGGTCCCAGATGCTGATGACGTCGTCCAGGCCGCTGCTGATGACGCACGAGGTGGTGCAGGTCAGGGACGTGACATCACCCCGGTGCGCGCAGATGTGGCTTACTCGGCTGCCCGTCAGCACGTCCCAGAGGCAGATGGCGCCATCCTGGCCCCCGCTCGCCAGCACCATGGTCTGGAGGGGGAACGAAGAGGATCAGCTCTCCGTGAGGCCTCGGCCCAGGGAGGGTGAGCATACAGGGAAGGAGGGAGGGATAGATGGAAGGAAGGGAAGGGAGGAAGGGTGGTAGAAAGGGAGAAAGCAAGCAAGAAAGGAGGGAAGGAGGGAAGGAGGGAGAAGGAAAATGGAAGGAATGAGGGGAGGGAGAAGGAAGAAAAAGGGAATGGAGGGAGAGAGGAAGGAAAGAGGAAAATGGAATGAGTGTTGGGAGACGAAGATGGGAAGGAGTGAGAAGAAAGAAGGGAATGGAGGGAGGGAGAAAGGAAGGAAGGAAGAGAAAAATGGAAGGAACAAGGAAGGGATGGAGGGAGGAAAATGAGAGGAAGGAGGGAGGATGGGAGGGAGGGAGGAACGAGGAAGGGAGGGACCATTACAGAACCATAGAAGAACGGAGATGGAAGCAGCCTCTGAGGTCATCGAGTCCAACCTCCTGCTCTGTTAGAGCTACCATTTCACACAAATGGCTACCCAGTCTCTACTTCAAAAACTCCAATGTTGGGACGTGAAGGGGCCGAGAGCCGAGGTGAACCGGTCTCTCTGATGACTCCCTCTGATTTAATCGATATGGAGTTGGAAGAGACCCCTTGCGCAGTGCCCCTCAATGCCCTTCGGCCAATCCCTCTTCTGCTGGTGGGGCTGGCAGCCGCCCCTCCACCCCCTCAGTTTTTCGATCATCCCTACTTGGTCTATGTAGACGGCGGTGATGGCGCCCGAGTGGCCTTGTAGGGTGAAGAGACAACACGAGTCTTCTAGGCGATACACCTGCATGGAGAAGAACGGTGTTAAGCAAAGGACCCATCGCTCCCATCCTGCTTTTCCTGTCTCGAGAAGACCAGAAGGCACCTCCAAGAGCTAACAATTGTTGTCGTTCATTGTTTAATGACCCCGTAATCCCTTGTGGGGTGGAGTCTGGGCAACTGAATGGAGCTGACTGTTTACTAGCTGGATGCCCTTCCTGTCGCCAATGAGGAGTTTTTGCAGCAGATATATTCTCATTGTGCCCAGAGAGAGAAATATCAGCCTCTTGCCTAGGATTGAACTCACAGCCTCCTGATTGTGAGGCAAGAGCTCCACCTCTAGGCCACCGCACCACTTCTCCAAGAGCTAAGACTGCCACCCCAGTATGGTGCCCACAAAGTTTCTCAAGTTCTTCTCGAGAAGGTCTGGTGAAGCCATCTTAGCTGCTTCTTCCAGGCCTGGGTTGAGACCCCGAGACCCCCAGGAGAACCTGGACGTATGGGTCCCGTCCCTGGTGGGTCCAACCTCTGCCCCCAAGCCTTCCTTACTCGGAGAGTGTGGTCCTGGCTGCCGGTCACCAGCCGGCCAGCCGCAGCCTTCAGGGCGGTAATGGGTTTTTGGTGAGCGCAGGTCACAGTGTGGGTCAGCTGGCAGATGAAGTCACTGGTGCTGTAGACCGGCGGAGACGAGAGGCTGTTCCGGCCTGTTGTGGCTTGAAAGAGAGAAAGAGAAAGAAAGAGAGAGAGAGAAGGAGAAAGAAAAGAAAGAAAGAAAGAAAGAAAGAAAGAAAGAAAGAAAGAAAGAAAGAAAGAAAGAAAGAAAGAAAAAGAAGGAAGGAAGGAAGGAAGGAAGGAGATAGAGAGAGAAAAAGAGAAAAAGAGAAAATGAGAAAGAAAGAATTAAAAAAAGAAATGGAGAAAAAAAGAGAAAGGAAAAGAGAGAGAAGAGAAAGAAAGAAAAAAGATAAGGCAGAGAGAGGGAAAGGGTGAGAAAAGGAAAGAGAGAATGAAAGAAAGAGAAAGAAAGAGAGAAGGAGAAAGAAAAGAAAGAAAGAAAGAAGGAAGGAAGGAAGGAAGGAAGGAAGGAAGGAGATAGAGAGAGAAAAGAGAAAAGTAGATAGAAAATGAGAAAGAAAGAATTAAAAAAAGAAATGGAGAAAAAAGAGAAAGGAAAAGAGAGAGAAGAGAAAGAAAGAAAAAAGATAAGGCAGAAAGAGGGAAAGGGTGAGAAAAGGAAAGAGAGAGAATGAAAGAGAAAGAGAAAGGAAGGAAGGAAGGAGATAGAGAGAGAAAAAAAGAGAAAAGTAGATAGAAAATGAGAAAGAAAGAATTAAAAAAAGAGAAACGGAGAAAAAAAGAGAAAGGAAAAGAGAGAGAAGAGAAAGAAAAAAAAATAAGGCAGAGAGGGAAAGGGTGGAGAAAAGGAAAGAGAGAGAGAAAGAGAAAGAAAAGAAAGAAAGAAAGAAAGAAAGAAAGAAAGAAAGAAAGGAAGGAAAAATGAATAGGCACTGTCTCTTTCAGTGTGCAAGGACTCCTGGGAATGCACTAATTTTGCTTGGCTCTGGCGGTTTTACACATCTGCAATGCATTTTGCAAAGCACTCAGATGAGTGTAACACAACTAATCTCGATTTAAGACCAAGGAGGATTTAGCAACAGAGGAGAAGCGAGGGGTAAACTCCTCTGCAGTCAGCCTGCTTTAAGAGGGGTGGGCTTCCACGTACCTTGGAACAGAGAGTGGGGTATGGACAGGGGGGTCCTCAAAGAATAAAAATCGAGGGAGCCGTTCAGCCTGGCAGCCACAATCCTGCTCCGAGGGGAAACACCAAGAAACACAAAATGCCTCGGTTGCACATAAAATTCAAATGAAAATTCAATTTTAATTTAAAAAAAAAAATTGGTGATAGGAAGGAGTGGAGTTTGGGGAGGAGGAGAAGGAAGAGGAAGAGGCAGAAGACGGGGAGGAGGAAGAGAAAAGGAGGAGGAAGAGAAAGAGGAGGAAAAAGAGGAGGGGGCAGGAGGAGGAGGAAGGAGTGTGGGGGTCCTTAGGGCTCTGAGCTTGTGGTTCCCTTGCAGACGTTTCATGACCCAACTAGGGAACATCATCAGTGCTGGAAGGGAGTGAGGTTATATTGCATATAAACAGTGAGCAAACTGCACTCCCTTCTAGAGCGCTGATGGTGTTGGGTCACAAAATGTCTTCAAGGAAATCCCCCAGCTGATAGAGCACCAAGGACCCCACAGTCCTCCTGCCCCTCTTCCTCCATTCTGCACACCCCTCTCCCTTCTAGCACTGATGAGGTTCCCTAGTTGGGTCATGAGACGTCTGCAAGAAACACCCCGCCCCAGCTCTGAAACCGTCAAGGGCCCCCACCGTTCCTCCCTAAGCCAACAACATTCCCTTCTCTCCGTATCTCTGAAACTGCTCACCCTGCCCCCCACCCTCCCGGATCTCCCAAATCCATACCTGTCAGTCAAGAAGACCAGGGAAGTGATGCCGGATGTCCCATCTTCACTGCTGCACTGCAAGGTCCCCTCAATAGCATCCCAGACCTGCGGAAGAGAAGAAGGGAAGCCACGGCATCAACGAGGGAGCTGTCACCCCAAAATATTTAGGGGGACTAGACAGTTTTAAATTCCCGGGATCGCTTTTCGTTGCTTGCAACTCGCAGGCCCGTCCCCGATGGTTGTAAAGTGCATTATGCCTCGTTTTACGACCCTGTTGGTCACTAAGTGAACTGTTGCAAGTTGACGACTACCCTACAGCGAGTCCTCGAGTTACAACTGCAAACAAGGCCAAAATTTCTCTGGCTAAGTGAAACATTGGCTATTTTACGACTTTGCTTCCCACCGTTGTTAAGTGAATCATTGCATTCGTTAAGTTAGTAAGCTGGTTGTTAAGTGAATCTGGCTTCCCAGGTCACAAAAGCAGATCGTGGGACCCCAGGACATTACCATCCTCATAAATGCGATCGCTGGCCAACCCAATGAATTTTGGGCTGCGACGGCCGTTAAGGCTGGAAAACAGCCCTAAATCCCTTTATTCAAGGCCCTTGTCATGTCAATCACTAAATGAATCATCGTAAAGTGAGGACTCCCCTTACCTCCAGCCTCCCGTTGCTCCGGCCGGCCAGAATGAGATGCCCTTGAAGTTCTAAGCTCCAGACCGAGCTGTCCAAGTCGCCCTGCCAGGAAATTGGGGGTGTTGTCTTCCCTGGGACCCCAGAGGGCTCATCGCCCCCCAAGCTGCTCCGTCGCGGGATGCATTCAGGATCCTCGCCGACTTGGGGCCACACTCCCTTGCTCTGGGAGCCGCCCTGCTTAGTGACGGCCGAGATGCGCGAGAACGTTGTGCAGTTTGGCGGTCCCTCCTCACAGACCCTTCCCACCAGGCTGCCAAAATCGTAGCCGTCCGGGCGCCCGCTGATGGTGCGGAGACGGGGTCCCGGGGTCCCGCTCTTGGTTTGCTCCAAAAAATTGGTATCAATCAGAGAAGAGAGATCGGGTTGGTCGCTGAAGAGGAGAGGTGGAGGGGGGCTTCGGGTCCGACGGAAGGGGGGGCTGCCATCCCAAGAGTCTTCCAGCCCGGTGCGGCCGTCGGGGCTGTAATCCCAGCAGTCCTGGAAATCCAGGATGCTGCTGCTGTTGTCCCGGGGCAGGCTGAAAAGAAGCAGAATGACAGAGTGGGAAGGAGCTCTAGAGGGCATCTAGTCCAACCCCATTTATTTTATTTATTTATTTTATTGGATTTCTATACCGCCCTACTCCCGAAGGACTCAGGGCGGTGAACAGCCACAGAATAAAACACATAAATACAAAAATTTAAAATAGAATAAAAAATAGAATAGAATGCTCAAGTAGCAGATTGTTCCAGAACAATAGAATAACGGAGGGGACTGTGGAGGTCTACGCCAGCCCCGTTTTAGCAGGACCCTTACAGAATAACGCGAGTTGGAAGAAACCTCAAAGGTCTTCAAAGTCCCCTGCTCGAATGTCTCCCGTTGTGTAACTTACACAATCATACAAGAAGTAAGTTGGAAAGAACCTTGGAGGTCATCCAGTCTGGCCCCCTGTCATGCAGGAGGCCCTTGGCCATTCCAGAGAAATGCTTCTCCAATCTTTTATTAAAAACCTCCAGTGTTGGGAGCATCCAGAACCCACAAAGACAGACAAACAGGCAGCGTTAAGTCGAGGAATGAAACCACAGTGACACCGCCATCCCTCAAAACTGGGTCCACTTGCACGTCCTTCCATGCGACGTTACCCGTGAGTTATTATACTAGCACGCTTGCCATGGACAGGCAGTCCTTGATTTATGACCGCAATAGCTAAGTGGACAGGTAAGTGAATTTTGTCCCATTTTACGAATCTGTTAAGGGAAAAGCTGCGGTGGTTGGAAGTTACTAACACGGTTGTTAAAAGAGAATCTGGCTTCCTGCTTGTCGCAAAAGGGGATCGCAGGACCCCGGGACACTGCGAACGTCGTAAATATGAGCTAGTTGCCAAGCATCTGAAATCTGTTCGCCTGACTGTGAGGACGATGATATAAAGGTCGTATGTGTGAAAACGATCATAAGTCGCTTTTTTCAGTGCCGTTGTAACTTCCAATGGACACTAAATGAAGTGTTGTATGTCAAGGACTATCTGAAATACAGAGAAAGACCTCGCGGGAGAGTTTGTCAAACGAATTTCGTCCCTCTGTGGACGTCAGTGATGGAGAGCCTATGACACGCACATCAAAGCTGACACGTGACACGTCAACATACGGGAACACCCGAAAAACACGATTCTCGAGAGCACGCTCTGTCCTTGTGCGATTTTCACCAGTTGCACAAAAATTGCTCTCATTTGCACCCTCTGGAAGATGTACAAAAGGACGATGCTCTTGTACGACCTCTGGAGCCTCTGAAACTTGTGCGAGAACCGTGTGAGTTGCCGCCCATTTTCCAGAGGCCGCCGAGGCACGTTCTCCAAAGTTGTTTCACGAACGGAGGTCTTGCACGAACTGCCGTAGTTTCGGGTCGACGGAAAGACACCCACGCCTGAAGGTACGCGCCATGCGGCAGATCGTGGGAAACGGTGCAATGCACCCGTTTGAGGGGAAACGTTGCCGGTAGGGCTGAAGTCGAGGGAAACAACCAGGCTGGGAATCTGAGATCAGCGGCCGCTGTAGCGGGACTCACCCTTGCTTAGGAATGACCGTCAGGCAGTCGCCCGTCTGTGCATCCCACACCCGGATCTGGCCCACCAGACAACAACTGACCAGCAGCATCCCATCGCTAGCCAAGCATTCGATGTCCTGCAAAACAGGTCAAGAAATCAGCAAGAGGGGGTTGCACTCTGGCCAGAAACACCGAGATGCTCCTGGGTTGAAAGCCTTTGCCGGGGACATCGCCGTCACCGACAGGACGCCAAGTAAAGGGCTCTTTTCATGTCCTCGGCAGGAGCTGGAGCTAAGGACAGGAACTCAACCGCAGTCATTAAATATGAAAAAGAATTGTAAGTCACTTTCTTCACTATTGTTAATTTCGAACGGTCAATAAATGAACTATTGTAAGGTATTAGCTTGCCTTTTTATTTTGGTCCGTGTTATTTTTATATTCATTTTACTACTTTATATTCATTCCATTTGGTATTTTATATTACTTTATTCTTCTATGTTGTTTTTCTTTTGTTATTCTATTTTATTTTATATTATTTTATTGTATTCTATTGTATTCTATTTTATTTTAATTATATTGTATTATTTTATTCTATTTTATTTATATTTTATATTATTTTATTGTTTTATTTGTTTTATTATTGTTTATTTTATATTATATATTATTCTATTTTATTTTCGTTATATTATTTTATTCTTCTATTTTATTCTACTATTTTCTTTTTATTTTAATATTCACTTTATTTTAGGTTGTATTATTTTACAACCTAAATTTTACGTTATATTATTTTATTCTATTTTATTCAAGTTTATTTTTATTTTATACTTTACATTATTTTATTTTGTATTATTTTATTGTTTTTTATTATTCAATTTATTTTATACTATTTTTAAAATTATATTATTTTATTCTTCTATTTTATTTTAATATTTATTTTATGGTATATTATTTTATTCTTCCATTTTATTCTGTTTTATTTTAATTTTATTATTTTTCTTCTATTTTAGTCAAATTTATTCTTTTATATAATATATTATTTTATATATTTTATTTTTATTTTATATTTTATTTTATTCATATTTTATGTTATTTTATTTATTTTATGATCTGATTTATGCTTCTTATTTGTAACCTGCGTCTATGACTATCATAAAATCACTATTACTACTAACGAGAGCCTATGGCTGCTCGCACCTGACATACCCCAAAGTTGTTTCTCTTTTCCCCCTTCTTTTCACCCCACACCTCGCCAGCCCCTTCCCAGTCCTGTCCCCCAATCTTCAAGCTTGATAGACCTACTGAAGAACCTTCATGGGATATCCTAAAGGTGTTTTTTCAAAAGGCAACTGATTTTCCTTGAAGAGATGTCCCTTCTCATCTGAGAAACTTCTTCAGGTCTGAGTGAAAAACTAAACTGTTAGCCAGAACGGAGGAAGCTTCTACGGATGAGAAGCAAAACCTCTTCAAGAAAAAAAAATCCAAGAAAGTTTAAGTTGGATCTTGAAAACGCACCTTTGGGACAACCATGACCTGGATGATTGAGAAGCTCTACAGAACTTTAGGAGATGCCACAGGGGACAGAGACGTCCTGGGCAAGGGGGCAGAGACCTCAGCGGTTGGGAGTCAAAAGACGCCCCTTCAGTTCCACTTGCCCGATGCAACCCTCACCATGAGGTGGCCTCGGAGAACCAGGGGGATGATCTCTGTCTCGGGAGGCGAGTATCCGTAGTCATCGCAGGGGAGGTCCCCTCTTCGTCGCCGACTGTGGGAAAGCCCGTTTTGTCCGTAATTTTTGGGGCACAAGACTTTGTAGAGACAAAAGAGGAGGAGGACCAAAAGCATGCCGGACGCCAGGCCGAGGGCGGCCACCCTGGAAGGAGAGAAGGAGAAGACATGAAGAGACCTGACGACTACTCCTCCATATTCCAAAGATCATAGCAGGGACCAAAAGACATTTCAGGTGAGGAGAAAGTAGCCCAGATACAGGTAGTCCTCGACTTAAAACAGTTCACTTAGTGACTGAAGTTACAACGGCAGCGAAAAAAGCAACTTACATCCGTTTTTCACACTTATACGCCTGTCGCAACATCCCTACCGTTATGTGATCAAAATCTGGACGCTCGTCAACCAGCTCACACTTATGACGGTTGCAATGTCCCAGGGATCACGCGACCCCATCTCCTATATCCAGGAGATGCCAGAAGAAGGAACTTGCTGCGGTGGCCGTCAGATTCCGACCACGGAGGAGCGTTTGGAATCCTGTAGGCTGCGTTTGGTGGAAGCTCAACACACCATGATTGGTGTCGTCCTGGACTAACTGGGACACTGCCCCATCGCTGACCAACCCAGGACCATCTCACTCACTTATAGAGGGTGACATCTTGCGGGCTGTGTCCTTTGGGCTTCTCTTCTGACAGCCGGTCCACCTGCTCTTCTTTCACGACACCCAACGAGAAGGAGGACTGGTACCGGTTGGCTTCGTGGGGATGACGTGCCTCTAAAGCCTCTTGGGGGTCCAGATACAGGGTGACAGGGATGACTGGCAGGATGCTGATGTACCTGGAGAAGGAGAAGAACTGATTGGAGAAGGCGATACCCAAGGGAATCGTGGGAGGCAGATTGTGGGAACTCAACACCCCAAAGATCGCCGTCTTCAATCAGAGCTCTTCGCCCGTCCAACACAGCCGCTGAACGGCTGCGGTCCAGAATTCAGAATGTAACACACCCAAGACCTGGGAATTCTCGGCGAGCGCAAGATCCAAAAAGTGGCATTAATGGCTTGAAAATGGCAGCTCTTTTGGGGGCTTGGGGCCTGAGTGGGTCGCTCCCCATTTCCTGAGATTTAGAACAGGGTTGGTCCAACGTGGGAATTTTGAGACGTACGGACTTCAACTCCCAGAATTCTCAGGCGAGTCAGGTTGGCAGAAACCATTACAATCATAGAGTAACAGCTAAGGAAGGGACCAACAAGAACATTTCCCACCAACAGTCAGGGCAAGCAGTTACTATATAAGCATAGAGCAAACCCCACGCTTCTAGCACTGATGATGTTCTCTAGTTGGCTAATGAAACGCCTACTAGACAACAAATAAGCTCAGATAGCACTAAGTTCCCCACAATATTTTTCCTCCTCCTCACTCCTCCAAAACCCTACTACCTTCTACCATTGATGATGCTACCTAGTTGGGTCATGAAATGTTTGCAAGAAACCACCAAGCTCTGAGAGCAACAAGGACCCTACAGTCTCTCTTCCTTCCTTCCTTCCTTCCTTCCTTCCTTCCCACTCCCTAAATTCTCCTTCTTCCCTTCCTTCTTTCCTTCCTTTTCTCTTCTCCCACCTCCTCCTCCTCCTTCTTTCCCCTTTTCCTTCCCTTCCTTTTCTCTTCTCCCTTTTCTCTCTTCCCCTCCTTCCTTCCTTCCTTCCCTTTCCTTCCTTCCTCCTTTCCCTTCCCTTCCCTTCCCTCCCTTTCTTTTCTCTTCTCCCTTTCCTCTCCCCTCCTCCTCCTTCTTTCTTCCTTTCCTTCCTTCCTTCCTTTCATTCCTTTCCTTTTCTCTTCTCCCTTTCCTATCCCCTCCTCCTTCTTCCTTCCTTCCTTCCTCCCTTCCTTCCTTTCCTTCCTTTCCCTTCCCTTCCTTTTCTCTTCCCCTTTCCTCTTCCCCTCCTCCTCCTTCTTTCCTTCCTTCCTTCCTTCCTTCCTTTCCCTTCCCTTCCCTTCCTTTTCTCTTCTCCCTTTCCTCTTCCCCTCCTCCTTCCTTCCCTTCCCTTCCCTTCCCTTCCTTTTCTCTTCTCCCTTTCCTCTTCCCCTCCCTCCTTCTTTCCTTCCTTTCCTTCCTTCCTTCCTTTCCTTTCCTTTCCTTTTCTCTTCTCCCTTTCCTCATCCCCTCCTCCTTCTTCCTTCCTTCCTTCCTTCCCTTCCTTCCTTTCCTTCCTTTCCCTTCCCTTCCTTTTCTCTTCTCCCTTTCCTCTTCCCCTCCTCCTCTTCTTTCCTTCCTTCCTTCTTCCTTCCTTTCCCTCCCTTCCCTTCCTTTTCTCTTCTCCCTTTCCTCTTCCCCTCCTCCTTCCTTCCTTCCTTCCTTTCCCTTCCCTTCCCTTCCTTTTCTCTTCTCCCTTTCCTCTTCCCCTCCTCCTCCTTCTTTCCTTCCTTCCTTCCTTTCCTTCCTTCCTTCCTTTCCTTTCCCTTCCTTTTCTCTTCTCCCTTTTCTCTTCCCTCCCCTTCCTTCCTTCCTTCCTTTTCCTCCTCCTTCCTTATAGCACTGATGATGCTACCTAGTTGGGTCATGAAACGTCCACAAGAAAAGCACCAAGCCCAGAGAACATCAAGGACCCCACAGTCCTCCTTTCCTTCCTTCCTTCCTTCCTTCCTTCCTTCCTTCCTTCCTTCCTTCCTTCCTTCCTTTTCCTCCTCCTTCCTTATAGCACTGGTGATGCTACCTAGTTGGCTCATGAAACTTCCTGAAGAAAAGCACCTACCTCAGAGAGCACCAAGGACCCCATGACTCACCGTTTGGCCAGGGTGATGTTGTAGTAGCTGAAGAGTGAGGGCCAGTGGCGAAAGGAGAGCTTCCTCCAGAGTTCCTCGTCCTCCGTGCCCCAACTCACTTCGGCCTTGGAGCCCACCTCTGGATGCCCCCTGCTCCTGGAGTTCAGCGGCTCCTCGGCCTGGTGCTCCACCTCTTGACGGTGCGAGGACTCCGACGTCTGGTTCTCCGAGAGCTGTGGAGGTGGGGGCTGCGCGGGATCGGCAGAGAAGACCGAGAGGGACAACTGGGCATCTCTTGTTGGAAGGACCTCCCCGGGGACCGGCAGAACCGGCAGCCCTGCTTCGCCCAGGGGGCTCTGCTCCGTGACGTGGGAAGCCAGGTAGAGGCGGACACCCGCCGGATCAGTATAAACCAAGATGCCAATCCAGACCACCGTCCCAGTCTGTGGGGAAGACAAGTTTATAGCAATCCCTTTAATGTGACGTTTATCCCCTCACCCGCTTTTAAGAGGGGACTTCGACTCTCCCAGAATTCCCCAGCCAGCCTCTTTCCTCGGGGATGAACTACACCAGGGACCCTGAAGGTCATCTAGTCCAACCCTCTGCTTGAGCAGGAGACCATTACAGAATCACAGAATAACAGAGCTGGAAGGGACCTCGGAGGTCATCTAGTCCAGCCCCCTGCTCGAGCAGCAGACGCTAGACACCGCTTCAGACACCAGGCGCTCCGATCTCTCCTTCAAACGGTCCGAAGTCCAAGTCTACCTGCACCCCGAGGGACGTCCCTCGTTAACCTCAACTGGACGCAAAGCGATCCGTCGTTACGTCGAGGAGTATCCGTACCCCAGCCTGTCTTCCCATCTCCTTCCATTTCTGTACCGTCCGACTACGTTTTCGTAACTCTGATGCTGAAACCCACCTCCCGAACAACCAGCCCCTCGTGCAGAATTCTGTGGGGGCCTGGACACCCCACCCTCCCGTCCTTGTGCATGCGCCACCGTAGCCCCGAGTCTTACCATGATGAGTCTTTGGGCCAATCGCGTCCGGGCGAAGAAATATACCACCCTCAGCCGCTTAGGGAGACGGAGGTTACGGAGAGAGGAGGTCTGGAGGTTGATGGTATGCATGGTCGCCGGGCGCATGGCTGGCTGGCGCTCGTAGCGTGGGCCGCGGACACCAGGTTTGGGGGGCGGGAGGCAGGCTTCGGCAGGGGGACGCTTGTTGAGATCGGCCAGCTGAGAAAGGGAGAGAAGAAAAACCCACTGGCAGGTCAGAATTCAGAAGTCTCTCTCCTCGGGGAGGAACTACACCAGATTGAAGGGACCCTTGGAGGTCATCCAGTCCAGCCTGCACTCAAGCAGGAGACGCTTACAGAGTCGTGGAATGACAGAGTTGGTAGGGACCTCAGAGGTCTTCCAGTCCAACCCCCTGCTTGAATAGGAGACCCTCACAGAATAAGAGAGTTGGAAGGGATCTGGGAGATCATCTAGTCCAACCCCCTGCTCAAGCAGGAGACCCTACACCATTTTCAGAGAAATGGCTATCCAGTCTCCTCTTAAAAGCCTCCAGTGATGGAGCACCCACAACTTCCGGTGGCAAGCTGTTCCACCGGTTAATTGTCCTCCCCGTTAGGAAACATCTCCTTAATTCTAGGTTAGACTGTAATAAGTTTCCCTCCGTTGCTTCTTGTCCTGCCTTCAGGTGCTTTGGGAGAACAGGTGGACCCCCTCTTCTTTGGGGGAGCCCCTCAAATATTGGCAGATGCTATCCTGTCCTTCTCTTTGTTAGAGTAGCCATACCCAAATCCTGCAACCGTTCTTCGTATGTTTCAGCCTCCAACCTCCTCAACCTCTTCGTTACTGTTCTCGCCACTTTTTCCAGAGTCTCTGCATCTTTTTTTTAGTATCGTGGCAACCAAAACTAGATATTATATTCCAAGGCCTTATAAAGCGGTATTAAACCTTCCCGTGATCTTGATTCGATCCCTCTGTTAATGCAGCGGAGGATCAATCGTGTTGGCTTTTTCGGCTGCTGCAGCACACGGCTGCCTCGGGTTAATAAGGCATCGTCCACTAGGATTCCAAGATCCTTTTCCTCTTGAGAGTTTGAGATCGCCCCCTTCGGACCTAATATCACTCGGCTATGCCCCCTTGAGCCCTCAAGAGATCTCCAAACCCATGGATAAGACTTTCCGGTTCGGGGTTTTACCTCCATCCGACGGATATCGATAGAGAGAACGGTGGTGAAGAAGAACATCTGGAGGAAGAAGTCGGAGACCAAGCCCACCACGGCGAAAAGGCAGAACTCCTGGAAAGGACGAAAGAAAGGACGGGACATGGAGACGAGACCAAGAAGGTTTTCTTTTGGAGAGGGGGGAGAGAGAAAGAGAGAAAGAGAGAGAAAGAGAGTCAGAATAAGAGAGAGAGAATAAGAGAGAATAAGAAAGGGAATGAGAGAGAGAGAGAGAGATAGGGTAAGAGAGGGAGGGAGGGAGGGAGAGAGAAAGAAAGAAAAAGAAGAAAGAAAGAAAAGGAAGGAAGGAAGGAAGGAAGGAAGGAAAGAAAGGAAAGAAAGAAAGAAAGAAAGAAAGAAAGAAAGAAAGAAAGAAAGAAAGAAAGAAAGAAAGAAAGAAAGAAAGAAAGAAAGAAAGAAAGAAAGAAAGAAAGAAAGAAAAGAAAGAAAGAAAGAAAGAAAGAAAGAAAGAAAGAAAGAAAGAAAGAAAGGCCCTCCAAACTCAGCCATAATAAATAGAGGACAGAGTCTTCCTGCAGGAAAGTTCTAGAAAACTGGCTTTTCCCATGAGTTGGGCCAGGATGGTAGAGCAGGGAATCTCCTAACTTGGCAACTTTAGGACTTGTGAACTTCAACTCCCAGAATTCCATGCCTTCTGGACTTCAATGCCAAGTACGGCTGGCTGAGGAATTCTGGGTGTTGAAGTCCACAATTTGTAAAGTTCCCAAGGTTAGAGGCCCCTGTGCTATTCGTCTTCGAGAGACCGAGTGCAGGGCTGATGAGCTCTGTTTGAACTGTTGTGCTGTGTGTTGTGAGGACTAAAACAATGAGGCTTCGTGGATTTATTTACAGATGGGATATGAGAAGAAGAGGACATTGTTGCTTGTTACTCCTCGGAAGCTCGGTTGGAACTTGGAACGGTCGCTAAATGGTTGTAAACCGAGGATTACCTGTACTTGAGAATAACCTCCCCTCCCAGTACCTGGATGGCCGGGACGAAGGTGAAATAGCCAATCAGGATGATCCCCAACTCGGTGCCCATGTTCTTCATGATGGACCAACTCTCGTTGCTCAAACCTGGAATGAAAGTAGTGAGGTTAAGGCCGGTGAACCCAACAAACAGGAGCAGCTCCACCAGGTTTTCTAGCTGCCAGCGTGAATGTAATTTAAGCAGACACGGCTCTTTTCAAGAGTAAACTAGAATCTTTTTACAATACAGGTGGTCCTCGACTTACAACAGTTCGTTTAGTGACCTTTCAAAGTTACCACGGCACGGAAAAAAGTGACAGGATCATTTTTCACACTTTACGACCGTTGAAGCATCCCCGTGGTCACGTAATCGAAACTCAAGAGGCTTGGAAACAGACTCATATTTATGACAGTCACAGTGTTCTGGGGAAGGAGTGGTGCCCTGGCCTAAAGGTGGAGCTTTCGCCTCACAATCAGGAGGCTGTGAGTTCGATCCTAGGTAGAGGCAGATTATTTCTCTCTCTGGGCACAATGAGAATGTATCTGCTGGACAAAACTCTGCACTGGTGACAGGAAGGGCATCCGGCCAGTAAAAAACACTCTGCTAGTTCCGTTCAGTTGCCCAGACTCCACCCCCGCAAGGGATTATGGGGTCGTTAAAAGAAGATGAGAGTGTTCTGGGATCATGTGATCCCCTTTTGCGACTGTCTGACAAGCAATGTCAACGGGTAAACCAGATCCACTTAACAAGTGTGCGAATAATTTAACAACTGCAGTGATCCACCTGACCACTGTGGCAAGGAAGGTCGTAAAATGGGGCGAAACTCACTGAACCACCGTCTCGCTCAGCAGCGGAAATTTTGGTGGTCGTTAAGTCGAGGACTAGCTGTACAAAAAAGCCCACTCAGATGATATCCAGCAGAGCCTTGGTGGCGCAGCAGACTAAAGCACTGTTAAGTAGCGTCAGCTGCCTGCAATTACTGCGAGTTCAAATCTCACCAGGCTCAAGGTTGACTCAGCCTTCCATCCTTCCGAGGTAGGTAAAATGAGGACCCGGATTGTGGGGGCAATAAGCTGACTTTGTATAAAAAAAGAACACCACTAAGCAGGTATATACAAAAATATGAAGGCTATTGCTTAATGCATTGTAAGCCGCCCTGAGTCTCCGGAGAAGGGCGGCATATAAATCGAACCAATAAATAAATAAATAAATAAAATCTAAGAAAAATCAAAACGCCATTCTCCAATACGGCAGGTTTTTTTTTAAACAAAAACTTGGCAACTCTAAAATGTGTGGACTTCAACTCCCAGAACTCCCCAACCAGCGTTGACCTGGGGCATCTCAGGGAGCAGGTTCTGACAACTATGATCGGCAGACCCAGCTTATCTCAGCCCAGGCCTTACCAGCTTTTTCTGGGATGACGAAAAAAAACTCACTATTTTACGTACCTTGCGCGATGCGCAGTTTCACTTCCAGGTCAACGGGTGTGGACACCACCGATTTGGTGAGAACCAGCACATTCTCGATGCCGATAACCACCACCAGGTATGGGAAAATCTCTCTAGAACAAAAAGGGAAACAGAAGCTGAACCAAGCGCTGAAGCTGGAGCAACCTGGGAGGAGAAAGGAATGACTTGACGTTGACCTGCGTGTATATATCACGAAGGCCCCTCTGAGAAGGTAACACAGAAACCAGGTTGCGAAGAGGACGTCTACCACCCCAGACAATCCTGCAATCAAACATTGCTTACATGCTATGGCCTGAACGACCAATAATCTTTTCTGCTGTCCTCACCACTCTCTGCACCACCTCAAATAGCAACAGCAACAGCACTTAAGACTTCTAGACTGCTTCACAGTGCTTTCCAGAGCCTTTCTGAGCGATTTACAGAGTCGGTCTCTAGCCCCAAACAATCTGGGTCCTCGTTTTACTGACCTCGGAAAGGATGGAAGGCCGAGTCAACCTTGTGCCTGGTGAAATTGCAGGCAGCTTTCTAACCACTGTGCCACCACGGCTCTAAAAGAAAGTATATAACTACCTATACATAACAAACATACACACATTCTCTCTCTCTCTCTCTCTCTCTCCCCCTCTCTCTGTGTATATATATATATATACCTATGTATATATAGGTCTTTGGTTATTTGGGTTTTCTCCTGCGTAAAATTGGAGGTGTCTTGGCAACGTTTCGACTAAGTCTCATTCGTCATCTCCAGGCTGGTGTCTTCGACTTCGTGCTTCTAGGAGCAATGTGTGTGATCGCAGCTGTTTCTTCCTTTTAACTGATAGTGGGGGTGTGAACTGATTGGGTGGGAGCTTGGCTGTGTTCTGATTGGGTGGAGGTGTGTTCTGATTGGGTGGGGCTTTGGCTGTGCTCTGATTGGATGGGGGGGTTGGCTGTGCTCTGATTGGCTGGGTATGTGTTCTGTTTAGGTGGGGGCTTGGTTGTGCTCGGGTTAGTCTGAGTAGCAGGGGGATTTGAGCTGGTGAGCTGCGTAGCTGCTGCTTGGCTTCGTGTTCGTGGCTGTATGTATGTGTGTATGTATGTATACACACACACACACACACACACACACACACACACACACACACACTATACACACATACATACACCATGTTTCTCCAAAAATACAACCTACCCCAAAAGTAAGACCTAGCTTGATGCATCCAATATGAGCCCTACCCCCAAAATAAGTCCGAATTAAGACCCCACCCACTCCAGGCTGCACGGGTAAAAATTAAGCAAGGGTTGGGATGGGGGTGGGGGTGGGTGGAGTTGCCCTACTACTTACTTTCGGACATTTGCAGCCAGGCCCCAACAACCACACTCTGACCTGCTTTTGCTGGCCCATTTCTTCTGCATCCGGCCAGGCGTTCCTGAAGGCCTCTGCAGCTGATAACAGAGCTGTTATTAGCTGTAGGAACGCCTTGCCGGCCACAGTGGAAGAGCCCGAAGGCCTCTGACAGCGAAAAGGAGGCACCAGAGATGTATTAATGGCTTTTCTGGAATCGACAACGATCTATTTCGTTTTCCTAGGTTTCAAGCGGGGCTGTTTTTGTTACACCAGTTGAGCAAACCCTCTACCTCCTTGCATCTCGTTGTCATCTCGAAGAAGGCCCACCACTGTTGTACTCTTGTCTCCAGAACTTCGTTCTACTGTCTGCACATCAACGAACAGAAGAGCTAAAGGGACAACTATCTGCTGAAGAGACATGGCTTGGATCCCCTCGTGCCTGAAGCCGTGCACCACTGCCATTCGACTGCCGGTTCCCCCCACCCATCCCAGAGGCCGCTTTCCCCCCCACGCCTGAAACCGTGCACTCCTGCCATTCGGCTACTGCACCTCCCTGACAGCCCCTGTGATCTCCTATCACCCATGGCTTCTGCCTACCGCCCGACTGGATGGCAGCTCATTGTCCCGTCCGACCAAAGGCCCGGGACAAGCAGTGTGTCGGCAAAGGGCCAGAGGCCCATTGCCCAGAGCGAATGGCTGGCGGAGGGCAAGTGGAGGAAAGCTGCCTGTAAATGGGCTGAGGCAGGAGACCGGAGGCAAAAGAGATGCGGCTAAGGGTGGAAGCCTGAAGGTCTTAGACCCTCCTCTCTGCAAAACCCCTCCGTTGTAGCACTGATGATGTTACCTATTAGGGTCATGAAAAGTCTACAAGAACGCAACCAAGTTTAGAGAGCACCCACAAACTTTCAACTGCAAAGAGAACTTTCATGGAGTCTTATCTCGGAGAGGAGGCCACGAGGCTGAAGGATGCTCGGACTAAGAAGATGGCCCTCAGGACTCCCTCCGAAGAGTGACTGCTCGACCGAGGACCTCCTGCTGACGGTTTCTGGCTCGCCAGAGTTCAGCCTGTAAGTCCCGTTCGCCGACTTACCCTCCGTTGAGCGTCGGCGTGAGGCCAAACAGCGTGCACAGCCCGACGGACATCAGGAGGGAGCTGAGGACGGTCACGACGGCAGCCAAAGCCAGACCCCACTTGGATTTCACCATGTCGATCTTGCCTGAAGAGGGAAAAAAAAAAACCCCATCAGTCTTTGAGTGAGACAGACAGAGAAAGACGCAGCACCGTCGCGGACTTCGTTCCAAATCTGGGAGAAAGAAACGGAAGCTGTAGACCACAGGTGTTAAACTGGATCACATCATGGGACGTATCATGAGGTATCACGACGTTTTTTGCCTTTCCGGATCCGGGATGGGCGTGGCCTGCGCGTGACTCATCCAGCCCGCGGGCCATCAGTTTGATAGGCCCGCTGTAGACCATTTTATGCTCAGTTGTGGTCGTACGTCGAGGACTAACCGTACATGAAGTCAAACGATGGATTGCTTTAACTTTATCCTAGACAGAAAGTCTTCGACTTATGACCAGAATTGAGACCAGTGCCCTGGGGTCACGTGATTCCCTTTTGCGACCTTCTGACAAGCCAAGTCAACGGGGAAGCCGGATTTCACTTAATGACCATCTTGATACCTTAACAACCACAGGGATTCACTTAACAACTGTGGTAAGAAAGGTTGCAAAACGAGGCAAAACTTGGTGAACAAATGTCTCGCTTAGCAACGGAAAATTGGGGGCTCCATTTTGGTCATGTACCAACTGTACATGAAGTCATTCAACGGCTTGCTTTAGCTAACAATCACTTAGCGAAGGAAAACCTGTGATTCAAGTGCGGTCGTAAATCAAGGACTGCCGGTCTCGAATGAGCCAAGCTGCTCGTTTATTCATTCGCTCAAACTTACGGGTGGAGAAGTAGATGTAAGCGAAAAGGATGACGTAGGTGGTGACGAGAGGGATAAGTTCAGCGACGCCGATTTCTTCCTTAAAATGGACATGGATCATATGGTCTTCCCGCAGGCTGCTGTTGGCGCTGGGATGGAGCAGCTTGAGCCGCGAGCGGAGGCTGGAGAGGAACCTGCCCCGGGAGCAAAGAAGAGGTCCCGTAATCCACAAGGCATCGGGGGGGCAGGGGAGGAGGGATATTGGTCTCAAAGGAGCTGCCCAGGATTATTTCCCACCCCAGGTGGGAAGAAAAAAGCCATTTACTTTTTTCCCAGAGAGATGAAAGGAAGGAGACGGCGAGCTTAATGCAGTCGTGTATCTCAACCTGTTGCCTACCCTCAATAGCAACACCCATAGATGCATGCTACACAGACACACACACACACACACACACAGAGAGTGTCGCAAACAATCCTGCAGACCCAGCTCAAGTATCGCTTATATGCCATGTCATGTCCTGGATCGAAGGAAATGAACTTCCAATAATCTTTTCTGCCGTCCTCACCACTCTCTCCACCTCACAGTGTTGTGGCCCGCCAGTGGCCTGCGCGGATCGTGGCTGATCCCGACGATGAGGAGGCTGGTGTGGTGTTGTGCCAGCAGCCTGCGCAGCTGGCGCTCGTGTCGGACAGCGAGGAGGCTGAAGAGGATGTGGTGCCAGAGGCTCCTTCAAGTGGAGAGAGCGAAGTGGAGGAGCCTCTCCTCAATGCTCGGGCACGCAAGGGCTGCCAAAAGGCAGGAGTGGCTACTCAGGAGGAGGAGGTCTCCTCGAGGGTAAGGTTTGAGGATAATTGGCCACTCCCTTAGCCTATTTATGTCACACACCGTTAGTAAGTTTCTTGCTAGAAACAACTTGTAATTATCATCAGAGCATTTTTGGAAAAGTCTTATCGTATCTTGCTTTCTGGGCTGGTTGCCAACTTTTGCCGGACTTTGGTTTATTCTTGCTACTTAATAAATTTGATAAGGATCGTTGGTGTGTGTCAATATCCTCGGGAATCCGGAGCTGGGGCAGAACACACATACACACAAACACACACACACACATTTTCCTTGTTACCTACTGGAAGGGGGCTTTGTGGTATCCAAAGCAAAACATGCAGATTATATATATAATCTGGATTATATAAATATAATATAGATTATGTGTTTTTCTATTAAGACACCTGTTCTACTCCAACATGTGGGAGGGGGCATTCTCCCTTTATTTCTGTATCAGCAAAATATAAATTTAATATAGATTATATATATAGTCTATATTATAATTTATATTATTATATATTATTATATATTATATGTTCTGCTTCGGATACCACAAAGCCCCCTCCTAGAAGATAACAAGGAAAACAGGTTGTGAAGAGGATTTGTAGGGTCCCAGACAATCCTGCAGACCCCACTCGTATCACTTATATGCCATGTCCTGGATCGAAGGAACTGAACTTCCAATCATCTTTTCTGCCAAACTCACCACTCTCTGCACCACCTCAAAAGAAAGTATCTATCTCTGTATCTACCTATCTCTGTATCTATCTATCTATCTATCTATCTAGGTCTTTGGTTATTCGGGTTTTCTCCCGCGTAAAATTGGAAGTGTCTTGGCAACATTTCGACGAAGTCTCATTCGTCATCTTCAGGCTGGTGTTTTCGGCTTCGTGCTTCTTTGTGCTTCTGAGAACACACCTCCACCCAATCAGAATACAGCCAAGCTCCCACCCAATCAGTTCATACCCCCACTAGCAGTTAAAAGGAAGAAACAGCTGCAATCACACATTGCTCCTAGAAGCACGAAGCTGAAAACACCAGCCTGAAGTTGACGAATGAGACTTTGTCGAAACGTCGCCAAGACCCTTCCAATTTTACGTGGGAGAAGACCCGAATAACCAAAGACCTACATATATATATACACACACACACACACACACACACACACACACATACATATATATATACATACATACACCCATACACACACACACATACCATTTCCCCGAAAATAAGACCCAACCAGAAAATAAGCCCAGCATGATTTTTCAGGATGCTTGTAATATAAGCCCTACCCCCAAAAAAGTCCCAATTAAGATTATCAGACAGACAGACACATTTTAGTATCGTATTTCCTCAAAAATAAGACCTAATTGGAAAATAAGCCCTAATGTGTCTTTTGGAACAATAATTAATATAAGACACAGTCTTATTTTTGGAGAAACAGGAGTATCTACCCACAGTAATACATATTTATATACCCCCCCCCCCCCCTCTCTCTCTCTATTTATCTATCTCTATCTCTCTCTCAGGTCATAAAGTCACACAAGTTACCCATTTGATGTCAGAAGTTGCAACCATGATGGGCAGGCTTCATTACAGTCGTAACTAGAAACCAGCTGCGTTGCTAGAGTAAAGACTAATTTAGATGTGGCTGTTGAGGCTCCATCCAGGTACAAACTCTTCAAAATATGGAATTTAACAGAAAACTCCATCTTCATGGAAAGCCACATGAGAGGGAGAGGCATCTGACCTAAGTCTTTCCCCTTTTTAAATGGAAATTTTAAATCTGGTTTTAAATTATTGGGGTTTTAAATTTGTTCAGCCAAATTATTTAATTCGTTTTAATCTATTTTAAATTTTGTATTTATATGTTTTATTCCTATGGCTGTTCACCGCTCTGAGTCCTTCGGGAGTAGGGCGGTATACAAATTCAATAAATAAATAAATAAATAAATAAATAAATAAATACATCTCTGGAGAATATCACAAAGAAGGTCCCAGCTGGCCAAAAGTTTCTCCAGCGTATTTCAGTCTCGGAAAGCAACTCACCTGGCGTCATAGTGCCGAAGACCCAAAGTGATGGCATAGATGACCACTCTCTTCCGGTTGTAGAGACTCACCCCACTGTACTTTCCTGGGACGCCAAATAGGAGATCTGAAGAAATCAGGAGAAGAACAGGTGAGTGGGAAGGACACCTCACCCCAAGTGATGGACAAGGGAATACAACCACCCTTCTTGAAGGACGCGCTTGATGACCTGGAAAAACCGCTCAACTTGGAGATCCTGGTGAATGCTCATTGACATCCCTCTGTCTCCCCCAGTGTTTCTCAACCTCTGCAAACTTAAGATAGGTGGCTTGGCTGGTTGGGGAAATACTGAGAGTTGAAGTCCACCCATATTAACGTTGCAGAGGTTGTGAACCATCCATCTTGAAGGACATACTTGGTGACCTGGAAAAACTGCTCAACTTGGAGATCCTGGTAAATGCTGATTGACATCCCTCTGTCTCTCCCAGTGTTTCTCAATCTCTATAAACTTAAGATGGGTGGATTTCAACTGGCTTGACCGGTTGAGGGAATGCTGGGAATTGAGGTCCATCTGAGTTGAAGTTGCAGAGGTTGATTAAAACTGGTCGCTCCTGACATTGACTGGAATTTCTGCAAGGACCTGCAGGATCTGAGGTGCTGGTCTTCATCTGGGGTCTCCAAACTTGGCGACGTTAAGACTTGTAGACTTCAGCTCCCAGCATTCCCCATGAGGAGAATGAGCAGAATACTGCTGATGGTTCCCAGGACCATCTAGACTAGTGTTTCTTAAATTTAGCAGCATTAAAAAAGGTGGACCAACTCCCAGAATTCCCCAGGCAGAATGGCTCTCTTCCTTTCTTCTCTTCTCTTCTTTCTTCCCTCCTTCTTCCCTTATCCTCTTTTCCCTCTTCTGTTTTTTCTTTTCTCTTCTTCATTCTTTCCTTTTCGTTCCTCCCTCCCTCTTGTTCTTCCCTCCCTTTCTTCTCTTCCTTCTCTTCCTTTCCTCTCTCTCTCTTCACTCACACTTTCTTCCTTCTCTTCCCTTTCATCTCTTTCTTCTCTCCACTTTCTTCACTTCCTTTCAATCTTCTTTCATTATTTCCTTTCTCCCTCACTCTCTTATCTCCTTCCTTCCCTCCATCCCTCCTTCCCTCCTTCCTTCACTGTCACTTTCGTTCTTTTCTTAATCCTCCCTCCCTCCCTTTCTTTCTCCTCTTCCCATGTTCCTTTTCCTTCCCCTCCTTCCTCACTTCTTCCTCCCTAGAGGAATTCTGGGAGTTGAAGTCCACCCATCTTAACGTTGGCAAGATTGGGAATCATGGATCTACACTCTTTCGGCACCTCAACGGAGCGTTGGCTGAAGACGCCACAAGGTGGCCAGACCCCACTCCCCCTTGTCTTCTCAACAGAGGACTTCAACTCAGCAATTCTGGAGAGGAGCCTCAACGGCCGCTCACTTCCTTCCGGTTCAGGTACTCCATCCCTACCCTTCGGCGTGGCCGACGTCTGCAGAGTCTTGGGTTCGTGCTGGTGGATGGTTTTAATAATATCGGGGTCGGTGCCGAAATGTTCCTGGTCATTCTGCCAGAAGTTCGCTGGGGAGAGGAGGAGGCAGCCATGTTCTGGCAGAAGCCCCCGGAGCTTCTTCAAGCCAGGCAAGAGATCGGTCACTTGAAGGCAGACGTCATCCAAGCTTTTAATCCGGGGACTGGACGCCGGAAGAGAAGAAGGGAGAAGATGCAATGTCAAGCGAGGAACAAGATTACTCTACACACAAAAATGGAAGGATAGAGCGGTATGGTGACTTAAGAGATGGAGCTTTCGCCTCAGAATCAGGAGACTGTGAGTTCGATCCTAGGTAGAGGCTGATATTTCTCTCTCTGGGCACAAGGAGAATATATCGGCTGCAAACACTCCGCACTGGAGACAGGAAAGGCATCCGGCCACTAAACACTCAGCTCCATTCAGCTGCTCCGACCCCACCCCCCCCCCCCCGCGAAGGGATTACAGGGTCATTAAACGATGAACAACAACCATAAAAATGGAAGGAGACTTTGATTCCCACAACTGCAAAAGTTGATGAAGTGAGCAGATAGGGCTAAATTGATTGCTTTGCTTAAAGGAAAGAATACAATTAATTTTGCTTCTACGTGGAAACCACTCCTGGACTTTATACTTGAGGAGGGGGAAAAAACGTGTTCTGCCAATTTTAAAGAGTTTCGTGGTTATAGAAGTGGCTGTTATATATTATTATATAAAAGTAAAAAAGTTGAGGTTTTCTGCAACTACAGAGAGTGTTCGACATACGACCACCATGGAGCCCAAAATTTATGTTGTTAAGTGAGACATTTGTTTCACTTTGTCCCATTTTTATGGCCTTTCTTGCCACGGTTGTAAAGTGAATCCCTCCAAAGATTAAGTTAGCAACACGGTTGTTAAAGGAATCTGGCTTCCCCATTGACTTTGCTTGTCAGAGTGATTGTGTGACCCCTGGACACTGCAACTGTCATTAATATGAGTCAGTTGCCAAGCATCTGAATTTGGATCACCTGAACGTGGGGATGCTGTGACAGTCGTAAGTGTGAAAAACAGTCATTTTGTTGAGTTTTGAATTTTGTATTTTAACTTTGTTCTAATTAAAATAATAAAATAAAATAAGTAAAACAAAAGCAATACAATGCAATAAAGTAAATAATAAAATAATCAATACAACACAATAATAAAACAAAACAAAACAAAATAAAATAAATAATAAAATAATACAATAATAAAGTAAAATAATAAAAATAAATAAAAATACAATAAATAAAATACAATAAGGAAATAACGCAATACAGAAATAAAATAAAAAATAATTAAAATAAATTAAAATAAAGTACAATAAAATAAAAAATAAAATAATACAACACAGTAACAAAATAAAATAAAAATAAAATAAATACAATACAATAAATAATACAATATAATAAAATGAAATAATAAAATAAACTAATAAAACAATTAAAATACAATAAAATAATAAAAATAACAAAATAGAATAAAATAAAACAATACAATAAAACAAAGAAAATAAAATGAATAGAAAAATACCATATAATACAATAAAATAATGCAGTACAATAATAAACTAAAATCAGATAAAATAAAAAATAATTAAAATAATATAAAATAACAAAATTAAAATAAAATAAAATAATATAAATAAAATAAAATAAAATAAAAAAATTACATTACATTAAAAATGTCCCAAGCCCACTTGTTTCAGGGCCACTGCAACTTCAAACGGTCACTAAACAAAGTGCTCTAAAGCCACAGTGAGCCGAAAGTATCCAGCCCAGTTTGGGGGGGGAAAAAGAAAACCACACCCAAGAAAACCCCCCAGGATTACAACCTGGTTAGTGCCTGGACCTAAAGAAAGCATCCGGAAAAACTCAGGGCTGTGAAAAAAGAGGAAAATTAAAATTAAAAGAGGAGAAACTCATCTATGCCATTCCAAGGAAATGTCATGGACGTGTCCCTGAACACACGGGGTGCCTGGCGTGACCTTCGAGAAACCAAACCCATGATGTGACGCAAATGATGCTTCAAGGCAGCCTCTGGGTTGGCAGCTGCAAGGACGGCCTCCGAGTTTGGTCCCCATGTTACATTAAAAAAAAGAGGTTGAGACCTTGGAAAAAATCCGGAGAAGAGCCACTAAGAGGATTAAACGCTGCAGGAGTTGCGTTGGGCTTGTCTACAGAAAAGAAGGACTAGGGGGGACATGATAGCAGGATTCCAATATTGGGGGGGCTGCCCAGAGGTGGGATTCACTTAGCTTCCCCTACCAGTTTGCAATTGAGAGCGCGCGCACACATATGCACCACCCCTGTGCATGGGCAGTAGTCGCGCATTATGTCCAGGTGGGTGGGCGAAGCTTCCCACAGTCGCCGCTACCGGCTGGCGCGATCTGGAGAGAACCGGCTGAATCCCATCACTGGGGCTGCTGCCCCAAAGAGGAGGGCAGGGGGGGTCAAATTATTCTCCAAAACACAAGGAGCAACGGATGGAAACGAATCAAGGAGAGAAGCAACCTGGAACTAAGGAGAAACTTCCTAACAGTGAGGACCGTCAACCAATGAACTTGCCGCCAGAAGTGGTGAATGCTCCGTCACTGGAGAAGAGAAGGAACAGCCGCTTGTCTGAAACGATGTAGGGTCTCCTGCTTGAGCAAGGGGCTGGACTAGAGGACCTCTAAGGTCCCTTCCAGCTGTTTGATTCTGTAACGGTCTCCTGGCTCACCGGGGGGTTGGGCTAGATGACCTCTAAGGTCCCCCCCCTGCTCTATTCTGATTGATTGGCCATCTGGTCTGAGGGTTATCAGAGCCACCGAGCAGCAGGCTATGACCAAGGAAATCATTCGTTTAGTGACCGAGGTTACAACGGCACTGAAAAAAAGCGACTCAGGACCGTTTTTCACACTTACGACAGTCGCAGGATCCCCACTGTCACGCGATCGAAATTTGGACGTTTGTCCACCGACTCGTATTTATGACGATCGGCACGTCCCGGGCGTCACCCAGTTGCCTTTGGAGAACTTCTGACGTGCAAAGTACAGCTGGGGAAACCCAATTTGCTTAACGACCGCTTGACAATGCTTAACAGTGGCAGTGATCCCCTTAACGACAGTGGCCAGAGAGGTCGCAAAATGGGGCACAGCTCATTTTCAACAACTGTCTCGCTGAGCGACAGACATTGGGGGCCCTGAGGTCGTTAAACCGAGGACTACGTGCAAATAGTGCCCCCTGTGTGTGTGTGTGACGACAGCCAGCAAAGAAATGGCATCCTGTTTTACGACCTACCCGTCGCGCAAAGCGTGGTTCCTGATTTCCTCCACCAGCTGGAAGACACGGGCGAGTGGAGAGCGAAAGACGTCGACGGCCAGGAAGCTCTTCGGCCATGGAGAAACTGTGGCTTTCACCAGGACCTGTTGGATGTAGGCCACGGGGGCTCCGGAGTACTAGAGGAGAGAAAGACCCACAGATACTAAGGGGGGGTGGGGGGTGGGGGGAGTGTTTACGATCAGCCTTGCGAGGTCGGCCAGGGAGAAGAAACACCCGGATGAGCTCCTTCTATTTAATGCTAAAGGGATGGCCCTAGAATTTGCAAAGTTATAAACTGCATCTCTGCAAAAAGAAGGAAGAGGAGGAGGAGGAGGAGGAGGGGGAGAGGGGGGAGGAGGAGGAGGAGGGGGAGGAGGAGGGGGAGGGAAGAGGAGGAGGGGGGGAGGGGAGGAGGAGGAGGAGGAGGGGGAGGAGGAGGGGAGGAGGAGGAGGAGGAGGGGGAGGAGGAGGAGGAAGAGGAAGAGGAGGAGGAGGGGGAGAAGGGGAGGAAGAGGAGGAGGAGGGGGAGGAGGAGGAGGAGGGGGGGAGGAGGAGGAAGAGGAAGAGGAGGAAGAGGGAGGAGGAGGAGGAGGGGGAGGAGGAGGAGAAGAGGAGGAGGAGGGAGGAGGAGGAGGAAGAGGAGGAGGAGGAGGAGGAAGAGGAGGAGGGGAGGAGGAGGAGGAGGAGGGGGAGAAGGAGGAGGAGGAGGAAGAGGAAGAGGAGGAGGAGGAGGAAGAGGAAGAGGAAGAGGAGGGGGGGAGAAGGAGGAGGAAGAGGAGGAGGAGGGGGAGGAGGCGGAGGAGGAAGGAAGAGGGAGAGGAGGAGGAGGAGGGGGAGGAGGAAGGGAAGGGGGAGGAGGAGGAGGAAGAGGAAGAGGGAGGAGGGAGGAGGGGAGGAAGAGGAGAAGCGGAGGAGGAGGAGGAGGAGGAGGAGGAGGAAGAGAAGAGGAGGAGGAGGAGGAGGAGAGGAGGGGAGGAGGAGGAGGAGGAGAGGAGGGGGAGGGGAGGAGGAGGGGGGGAGGAGGGGAAGAGGGGGGGGGGGGAGGGGGGGGGAGGAAGAGGAGGGGGAGGAGGAGGAGGAGGAGGAAGAGGAAGAGGAGGAGGAGGAGGGGAGGAGGGGGAGGAGGAGGAGGAAGAGGAGGAGGGAAGAGGAAGAGAGAGGAGGAGGGGAGGAGGGGAGAAGGAGGAGGAAGAAGGAGGAGGGAGGAGGAGGAGAGGAGGAGGAAGAGAAGAGGAGGAGGAGGAGGAGGAGGAGGGGGAAGGAGGAGGAGGAGGAAGAGGAGGGGGAGGAGGAGGAGGGGGGAGGAGGAGGAGGAGGAGGAGGAAGAGGAGGGGAGGAGGAGGGAAGAGGAGGAGGAGGAGGAGGAAAAGGACTGTGGGGTTCTTGGTGTTTCCTGAGCTGGGTGGTTTTCAAGCAGACGTCTCATGACCCAACTAGAGAACATCATCAGTGCTAGAAGAGAGGAAAGGTGGAGGAGGAGGAAGGACTGTGGGGTCCCTGATACTCTGAGCCTGGTGATTTTCTGGCAGACATTTTGTGAACCAACTAGGGAAACCGTCAGTTGCTAGAAGGGACGGTCTATAAACAGAAACCAAACCTCCCCAGCACTGATGATGTTACTGAGTTGGGTCCCGAAACGTCTGCAAGGAAACCACCCACTTCGGAGGTCATCCGTTCGGCCTCGATATCAAACGTCGATTCAAAAGGGGTCGTGTTTCCTCCCTACCCAGTCGGGCCGCTCGCTCGGTTCTCCTTGCTGCTGGGTGGGGAAGGGGGGCGGCTGGCTGTAGTCCTTCACCGGCGTTGTGTACTCCACTGGCCCCGTGCCCGGAAGCGGGAGCTTCAGCAATGGGTAACTGGAAAGGGGAGAAATTCAGAATTAACTCCCGAGGCCGGCCGAGTTTCAGAAAAAAGCCGAATCTCCTTTCTCAACAATTCCCAGAATCCCCCAGCCAGGGAGCTTTAAGAGGGGAGGACTCCCACTCCCAGAATCCCCCAGTCCATGGGGAAGCAGGTCTTACCAGCAGGCCAGGACGCAGAGGCCAGTGAAGAGGATGATGGGTATCGGGCAGGAGGCACAACGTAAGCCGTGGTTGTAGAAGGCCCCAGAGATCTTCTCACGGAGAGTCTCAGTCCAGGTCATTCTTGGGGGTCTGGGTCAGCTTGCTGCCATCCCGATGAGCGCGTGCAGAGTCAGTGCCGGCCCCGAGTGCGAAACACCCTGTGCAGAAGGAAGATGGGGGAAATGGCGGAAGTGGGGGAGTGTCAGGGACCGCTCGTCGATCAAAGCTGGGCCGGGCCTCGGCTTATGACGGAGCGCTGATAGAGACACTGCATTAAGTCGCCTCTGAGAGAAAGGGGCGGGGTAGTCCTCAAGTTATGACTAAAGTTTGTTTTGCAGTGGGACTGAAAAACAGATATCTATTATGTATCTTCCTTAACTGCTCCTCTCCTCTCCTCTGCTTCCTTTCCTTCCTTTCTTCTTTCCTGTCCTTTCTCCCTTTTCCTATTTCCCCTTCCTTTTCCTTTCTCCTTCCCTTCCCTCTTCCTTCCTGTTTTCTTCCCTTCCCTTTTCCTCTTTTATTCCCTTCGTTTTTTCTTTTCCTTTCCTTTTTCCATTTCATTCCCTCTCCTTTCCTTTCCATTATCCTTTCCTTTTCCTCTTTCCTTCCCTTCATTTCTCTTTGTTTTTTCCTTTTCTTTCTTTCCTTCCTTTCTCCTTTCCTTCTGTTTCTTCCCTTCCTTTTCCTCTTTCCATTTCCTTCATTTGTTTTTTCCTTTTCCTTTCCTTTCCTTTTTTCCATTCCTCTCTCCTTTCCTTTCCATTCTCCTTTCCTTTTCCTCTTTCCTTCCCTTCATTTCTCTTTGTTTTTTCCTTTCTTTCTTTCCTTCCTTTCTCCTTTCCTTCCCTTTTCCTCTTCCATTCCCTTCATTTGTTTTTTCCTTTCCTTTCCTTTCCTTTCCTTTCCTTTCCTTTCCTTTCCTTTTTCCAGTCCATTCCTCTCTCCTTTCTTTTCCATTCTCCTTTCCTTTTCCTCTTTCCTTCCCTTCATTTCTCTTTGTTTTTTTCCTTTCTTCCTTTTCTTCCTTTCTCCTTTCCTTTTCGCTTTGCCTTGCCACCCAAATGGGAGTCAACGATAAACCCTTCCAAACAATGCCAACTGTTGCCTACTTGACAAACGTTACCCACACATTGTGTCGTCATTACAGCACAACAATTATATAAAAATCTTATCGAACTTCAGATTAAACCCACAGGGGATATCTAACCCCTTCCTGGCAGCCAGAAAAATCAAAGATTTTCCTCCATTGTTGAAGCTGCTGGCTGGGGAATTCTGGGAATTGAAGTCCATTCATCTTGATGTGGCCAAGGTTGTTGGATGGAATGGATAGATGGGAGGGAAGGAAAAGGATGGAAGGGAGGGAAAGGAAGGAAGGAAGGGAATGGATGGATTGGAAGGATAGAAGGATGAAAGCAAAGGAGGGAGGGAGGGAGGAAAGAAGGGATGGATGGATGGAAGGAGGGAGGGGAGGGAGAGAAGGGGACAGAAAAGGGAAGGTAGTACATGAATGGGGAACGATGGGGAAGGGAGGGAGGAAGTGACCCTAAGTGACCCACCATAAATTGAGGACTAGCTGTTCACCCCAGTTTGTTTAGCGACCAAACGGCACTGACCAAAGCACCATTTTTCCCCTTATGACTGTTGCACGGTCCCCTTGGCCACCGACTCATATTTACGACGGTCGCCGTACCCCCGAGGTGCATGTGTCACGTGACCCCCTCCTGACAAGCACAACAGTGCAATTCACTTAACAACAGCAGCTGGAATGGTCGCAAACGAGGGCCAAACTCCCTGAACAACCCCGGTGACGGGCACGGCGGTCGTAACCGAGGACTGTCTGTGATGAAAGCAAAAATAATAATAATAATAATCCTCTCAGGAGACGCCCTGCCGCTTCAATCCTGGCTTGTTCCTTCGGGATCCACAATCGGGAATTCCCCAATTCTTAAAATATCGCAACGCCGATGCAACGCAACCCTTCCCGTGAGAAAGGCAAGTGTAAACACACACGGACAACAGAGTCTTTAAAAAGCGAGTTTTTTAAAAGAAAAACAGAAAAGGAATGCGGGATGTTTTGGAAACGCGCCAGGTCATTTGCATACATTTGCATAAGATTTGCATCAAACCCTGGGGCCGCCCACGCTCCTTAACGCTGGGATTTTCCTATCCCCGTTTTTTTTTTTTTTCTTTTAAATCGGAAATACGGAAGAGGTGTAGCTCCTCTTTACATTTCAAAGGCCCGAGTAATTGAGTTATCGGCATTTATTTTATTCTCGCGTTATGAATTATTAAATGCAATACACACACACACCGTACTGACCCACATTTCTTCCTAATGGCAAAGTCGCTGGCCCATATTGAGGTAACAACAGGCACAGAGGGTTCTAGGGTCTCTCAGAGCTGGACGTCTCACGACCTGATTAGGGAACATTATCAGTGCTCGGAGGGTGTGCGGTGTGTGGGGAGGAGGAGGAAGAGGGGGAGGGGGAGGGGGAGGAAGGGGGGGGGGGAGGAGGGGGGGGGGGGGTCCTTGATGCTCCAGGAGATGGATGTTTTTATTGCAGACCTCTCATGACCTGACCAGGGATCGTCATCATTTCTAGGAGGGTGTGGGGTGTTTGGGGAGGAGGACCAGGATTTACTGTACTCAACTCTTAACACACACATGCAGTATTTCATGAAGCATTTGAAATAAATTCGGCGTGATACAATGGTTCGGTTTGATTTAAAACCGGGGAATCAAACAGTAAATCAAATTTTAACGCCCAATTTGCATGGATTATTTCACGCATTATAATTTACTCTCCCTGGAATTTAAATACAGAAAATAAAATGCGGAATGAGAGAGTCGGAAGAGGTGTACAGGATCGAGAGAACAAAAGCAAAGTCAATGACCATTGTATTAAAATAATTGATGAATCGAAATAATTTAGAATTCTTAGAAAAGATTCTAATCATTAGAAACAATTTCAATTTTTTAATTTTTTTACAATTTTCCTCCACCGGCTTCGTGACACTCGAATGCCAGGTTAAGCATTTTAAATAAATTCAACGCAATGCAACTGTTTGACTTGATTTAAAATTGGAGACTTACAACATCCCGCTCCATAAATCAAGGTTACAACAGGGTTACCAACACATAACCGTGGTTTGGAAAGCAGTTGGCAAAATCACATAAATAGCATATTACTTCCTCTGTTCTGACATAAATAGCATGAGGTAATATTTCCTGAATTATTATTTACCCAGGGAAATTACAGCAGGAACTATCAACTCAAACAGAGTAAAAAAACATAATTTACGTGCTAAAAAAAACAAGCGAATAACAAACATTAAATGGACATTGCATCCAGGATCCTGCACGGATTATTTCATATATTATAATAAATAGTCCTCAATTTACGATGATTCATTTAGTGACTGTTCAAAGTACAATGGCAATTGAAAAAAAAAGGGGGGACTTAGAACCGTTTTTCACATTAAACAACCGTTGTAACGTCCTTATGGCGGGGTGATCAAAATTCGGACACAGCAATAGACTCCTGTTTATGACAGGCGCAGGGCGCTGGGGTCGCAATCTTCCGAGAAGCAAAGTCAACAGAGAAGCCAGATTGACTTAAGACCCATGTGACTCACTTAACAACCGCAGGGATTAGTTTAACAACGGTGGCAAGGAAGGTCAAATGGGGCAAAATTTACTTCACCGTTTTTGCTTAGTAATAGTAGACGGGTGGATGTATGGACAGAGGCAGGCAGGCAGATAGAGATGGATAGATAGATAGATAGAGAGAGAGAGAGAGAAAGAAAGAAAGAAAGAGAGAAAGAAAGAAAGAAAGAAAGAAAGAAAGAAAGAAAGAAAGAAAGAGAAGGAAGGAAGGAAGGAAGGAAGGAAGGAAGGAAGGAAGGAAGGAAGGAAGGAAGGAAGGAAGGAAAGGAGGGAGGAAGGATCAATGGATAGATAGATTTTGAGATCAATTTTGGTCATAAGTCTATTTATTCAGTCTGAGACACAGCTTGCATTTTGCTACAGAGGCATGCATAGCATGGAAAAAATGACACAAAAAAAAAACCCCACGCCTTCCCTGGGCTCGTTTCCACAACCAAGCCGCCCATCAGGTCACAACAAGGGATTTGTGTTAAGAAGACACACCTGAATCACCGAAAGTTGTTTAGGGTGACTCAACCCGTCACAGAGAAAGGATTGAGCCATGTTGGGAAAAGAAAAAAAAAAATCCAGGTTAAAGTTGCCGGGTGTGACTTTGTCACTTCGACACTGGAGTCCCAGAAACGGTCCTCGGGGTGGGGTGGGAAATCTCGTACTCCAAAACCCATGTTCTAAAGCCATCCAGGCAGTCCTCGACTTACACCACAGTTCCTGTCGTTAAGCAAGACACTGGCCCCCCTGGTCCGCCCTTCCTTGCTGCCCTTATGTGAGCCAAATGCAGGTGAGGCCCCAACATTTTTGCCGTTGAGACATTCGGCCCACTCTACAACCTCTCTACCTCTCCCGTTAAGCGAGCCACCGCGGTCGCTAAGTGAGTTGCCTGGTTGTTTGAAGCGAATCTGGCTTCCTGCTCGTCATAAAGGGGGAATTGTGTGAGCCCTGTGACCACTGTAAATACGAGGACAGTCGCCAAGCTTTGGAATTCTGATTGCGCAACCAAGGGGATCCGACGGTCATTAAGAGTGAAACCCAAGTCCCTTTTTTTCATCGCCGTTGTAACTTGGAACCATCACTAAACCGTCGTAAGTCGAGGACTGCCAGTCCAGTTAGCTGAGATCGCAGTTCCAGTTAGCAGGGGTATTTGTATCATGGCTTGCACTACAACTCCCATCTCCCAACAAAAACAGCGATGATGGGAGATGTATTCCAATATATGGCTGGAGAGCGGTTGGACTACAACTCCCATCTCTCTCTAGCCAGTTGAATCAAGAGGGGTGATGGGAGATGTATTCCAACGTATGTGGGGAAAACGGTTGGACTACAACTCCCATTTGCCCCCAGCCTTGGGCAGGGCATGAAGAGAGATGTTGGCCAGCTTGCCTGCAAGCCATGGCTGGGGATGATGGGCCCTGCAGTACACAGTATCTCTCCCAAACTCCCCCGCCCAGCACGCTCAAGCAAAGGGGATGATGGGAGATGTATTCCAACCTATGCTGGACTACAAACTCCATCTGTAACCCAGTGGCTGGGGATATGGAGTCCAAAGCCTGGTTGCGAATGATGGGATCTGAAGGACTCCAAAGCAACGGGGATGATGGGGAAGTGGGTTGGACTACAACTCCCATCTCCCCCAGCCAGAAAGTTTCTGCAACCCAGTGGCTGGGGATAATGGGTCCTGGGGTACAACACCTTTTTAAAGGATGAAAAGGAACGGCGAGCCGGTCGTGGGCGATGGGCTCCAAAGCGTGGGTGGGGATGATGGGATATGAAGTACCCCACACGGTCCCAACCTCCAGTTAAAGCAATGGTTTAATGATGGGGGTTTGGACTACAACTCCCATCTCTCCCCCCTCCCCGCAGCCAGGGGAGGCGACCAGCCACGCCGACCGGGGCACGACGGGAATTGTAGTCAAACCGGCCCCGAAGAACTTGATTGATTGGCGGCTGGGGACGATGGGATCGGCGGTGCCGGCGCGGCGGATGGGCTTTGTAGTCCTACCCACCTGCAACAAAGGCCTCGCTGAGGGGGAGGGACCGTCCGAAGCCTCGCCTGGGCCTCCGAAGCGGCAGCCCGGAGCTCCTTTCCCGAGCGGCGGAGATCGGCCGGTAGCGGAAACGGAAGGAAGGCGCGGCGTCCACACTCTCGCCTCGGCCCGGCCCGGCTTCCGTAGCCGCGGACACGCCCCCCGCCTCCCTACGCATGTGCGAGTGAGTCCCGCGTCTCTCTCTCTCTCTCTCTCTCTCCCCGCCCCCCCGTAGTGAAAGCCACGCCCCTCACCCAGCAGGAGCATCTGGTGACGAGTCCCATCCCCTCCCCGGGTCCTAGCGCCCCTCCTCCTCGGCCAAAACGGGAGCTGATAAAGGGAGGGGGTCGCCAAAGAGATGATTCCCCCCCCCCGACTGACTTTATCCGTCCGAGAGAGGGAGGGAGGGAGGGAGGAAAGACAAGGAAGGAAGGAAGGAAGGAGGGAGGGAAGGAGGGGGAGGAAGGAAGGAGGGAGGGAGGAAGGAAGAAAGGAAGGAGGGAGGAAGGAAGGAAGAAAGGAAGGAAGAAAAGAGGGAGGGGAGGGGAATAGAGGAAGGAAGGAAGGAAGGAAGGAGGGGGGAGGAGGGAGGGAGGAAGAAGGAAAGAGGAGAGGGAGGAAGAAGGAGGGAGAAAGGAAGAAAGAAGGGAGGGGGAGGAAAAGAAGGACGGGAGGAAGGAAAGAAAAAGGGAAAGGAAAAGGAAGAAAGGAGGGAGGGAGGGGGGGAGAAAGGAAGGAAGGGAGGAAGGAAGAAAAGAGGGAGGGGGGGGAGGAAGGAGGAAGGAAGAAAGGGAGGGGAGGAAAAAGAAGACGGGAGGAAGGAAAGAAAGAGGGAAAGGAAGGAAGGAAGGAGGGAGGGGCAGTGGGGAAAGAGGGAGAAAAGAAAGGAAATGCAAAAAAAGGGAGGGGGAGGAAAAGACGGGAGGAAGGAAGGAAAGAAAAGGGAGGGAAAGGAAGGAAGGAAGGGAGAAAAGAAGAAAGGAAAGGAGAAATTGAATTCAGCAACCCATCCCACATCGGAAGGGAAAAAACATGGGAAGTGACAGCTTGAGGGAGGTGAAAACTCCTTTTGAAAACTTGCTTGAGGCCTTGAGGGATGAGAGGCAAATGCCTGTCCTGGCCGGTATGAATAATAGGAAAGCAAAAAGAATTTAAGAAATGGGCTTTCCTGAGGGATGACACAGGGAAACCAATTTGGCTAAAAAAAAGGTACTTAAAAGAAAATTAAAGAAAGAAAGAAAGAAAAGAAAAGGGAAAATGTTGGGGGGTTTTGTTTGTTTGTCTGTCCGTCTCTTTCTCTGTCTTCTCTACAACCACATGGTACATTTGTTAAGATTTGTGCCTTCCCTAATTTAAATGAGATTTATGGTGGGAATGACTAGTGTGTGTGTAAACCTGAGAGTTCTGTTTGCCCTTGTTTTTCTGTGTGTATCTCTAAGTCTCTGTGTACTGTGTACCTCTCTTGAAGTAACTGTAATTGTAAAATGTCTCCAATCAAAAAATACAAAATTATATTTTGATGGAATCCCATTGACTCCTTGTGTGTAGTCCCCGTGTGTCTTTGTCTTTATGTTTGTGTGTGTGTGTGTATGTGTGTGTGCTTTCCCTTGGCTCTCTGCACCAAAGAGTCTGACTGTCTCTTTAAGCCTCCAGACTGCAACTCCCAGAGTCCCCCAGTCCGCCAATTCTGGGTGTTGAAGTCCCTAAATTCTAAACAGGAGACCAAGATTGCGAGATTGTAGGTTGTGTGAAGGAGACACAAAGAGACTTGGGTTCGATTACACCTCCTTTATTGCATCACAATCTCTTTGCATCGTTGTTCTGGATCGACTGCCCACGATCGACCCTGGATTCAAAATCAGATCAAATCTGATCCCTCAGAGATCACCGATCCTCCTGGATCTCTCAGGATCCCCTCCAATCCATATCCGGGACCACCGGCAACCTTTTGGTCACAACACGGCTGCCGACATCCCTCGGGCAAAGAACGCGACGTTTTTATCTTGGATCTGATACTGGTAAACCCGCCGGGGATCTTTTGTCACGCTGGATTCCCGGGAATCCTTTTCCAGGATGGTCAGCTGCAGGAAAGAGAGATCCTTTTGAGTTTTAGATCCGCTGTCTACACCAAGAGATAATCCTCAACATATGACCAGAAATGGGAGCAGAATTTCCACTGCTAAGTCAGTTTTTTACAACCTTTTTTGACATGGTTGTTAAGCGAATTGCGGCAGTCATTAAGTGAATCCGGCAGTCGTTAAGCGAATCCAGCTCCCCCCCCCATTGAATGTGCTTGTTGGAAGCTGGCTGGGAAGGTCGCAAATGGGAATCACGTGACCTCAGGACACTGCAGTCCTCGACTTACGAACCACAATTGAGGCCAAAATTTCAGTTGCTAAGTGGAACATCTGAGTGAACGTTGCCCTTTTTTCTGATCTTTCTTCCACAGTTATTAAGGGAATCATTTCACTTAACAAGGAGGAAAGGGAAAGAAGGGGAAGAAGAAGGAAGGAAGACAGGAAGGAAGGAAGGAAAGGAAGGAAGGAAGGAAGGAAGGAAGGAAGGAAGGAAGGAAAGAACAAGACAGAAGAAAGGAAGGAAAAGAAAGGAAGGAGAGAAGGAAAGAAGGCTGGGAAGGAAAGGAAGGAAGGGAGGCAGACAGGCAGCAAAGAAGGAAGGCAGTGAAACAGACATGCAGGAGGGAAGGAAGAAGGGAAGGCAGGAAGGGAAGAAGGAAGGGAAGAAAAGGAAGGGAGGGAGGGAGGCAGGCAGGCAGGCAAGGTAGCTCTACTTGGAAAACCTCCCTCAAGAAGTCTAGGCAAAGAAGACAGGTAGACTCACCTGTCCATGGACTTCCTTGCAGTAGCCGCTGGCCAGACCTTCGGCCCACAGGATGCTGTTGGCCTGATGACGAAGGGCCTTCACCAGAAGTTCATTTTCCTCGTCCTCCGAATCTTCACTGCTCCGCATCATGAAAACCAAGTTCCCCTAAAACACAAACCATCATTGTTCATTTAGATCGCCCTTCCGCTTGGAATGAAACCTAAAGATAGCCAATACAGCAAGTCTTCGACTTACGACCCCAATTTCCATTGCAAAGCAAGACAAATACAGCAAGTCCTCGACTTACGACCCCAATTTCCATTGCAAAGCGAGACAATTTCTCCCCATGTGACGACCTTTCTGGCCGCCATTGCTAAGTGAATCCTGGCGGTTCATAACTTTGCCATATGGTTGTTCAGTGAATCTGACTGATTTTGCTCCTTGGACGGTCGCGAAACGGATAACCCGACCTCGGACGCAGGGACCATCGTAAAGATGAGTCGTCTGAATTTTGATCACGTTACCGCGGGGACTCTGCGACGGGTCGTCAATGTGAAAAACAGTCCTAAGTTCATTTTTTCGGTGCCGTCGGGAATTTGACCAGTCACTAAATGAACTGTTGTTAAGTCGAGGACTACCTGCGGTTGAGAGTTACCTTCAGTTCGGTGTTAACGGTCGCCCGGCAATAGTGAACAAAATTCAGGATGTCCGTCAGCCGTACCCCAAGACTTAATAGGACACCAAGATCGTCAACAATCAGAACGGGGAACTTCCCCCGATATCCGTCAGCAGAAGGATACAGGGATGTCCGGACAAAATGGTAAAGTTGTTTCAGATCTGACCCGTCTCCGCTGCAAATGAGAGATGCAAAGTTGAGGTCAATCAGGTCAACGGTCTGGTTTTCAGAACTTCAGGTACTCCTCAAGTTACAACCGTTCATTTAGTGGCCATTCCGAGTTACAACAGCCCTCCCAAAAAGTCACTTAGGACTATTATCCCCTGTACGAGTGTTGGTGCATTCCCGCAGGAGTAGGATCAAAATTCAGATGCTTGGCAAGTGAGTCGTATTTATGATGGGGATGGTGTCCCAGGGTCACGCAGTCCCCTTTTGCGACCGTTGGACAAGCAGGAAGGCAAATTCGCTTAACAACCATGTCACTAATGTGAAGTTAGTGTTCCTAACATCTAGGAATTAGTCCTAACTAAACAGTCATTTATTAGAAGCACCATTCCGGCAATACTCCGATGGAGTCAGAACTGACCTCACGTAAATTTATGGGGCCCCATGTCCCTGTCACCCCACTCCTCCCTAGGCATGTCATATTGTGGTCGTAAATCAAGGACTATCAGGAGTTCAGTACTAGAAATTTTGGTCTCCATTTTGGTCATAAGTTGAGGACAACTTATATGTGCTAAGCATGACCAAAATGATTTGAATTATGCCATAAATAGGTAGTCCTCCCTTTATGACCACAATTGAGCTGAAAATTTCCACTGTTAAGCGAGACAGTTGTTCAGTGGCTTTTGCTCCATTTTAAGATCTTTCTTCCCACCAGTTGTTAAGTGAATAACTGCAGTTGTTATTAACACAGTTGTTAAATTAATCTGGTTTTCCTGTTGACTTTGCTTGTCGCAAAAAGAGATCACTTGACCCTGGGACACTGCGACTATCATAAATGTGATAAAGGTCTCATAATTTTGAATGCAATCAAATAAATAAAATTATAAAAATTATAAAATAAAATAATAACACAATCAAATAAATAAGTAAAATAATAAACAAAAACTATAAAATGAAATGAAATATCAGTGTTATGATTTTGAACACAATAAAATAAATAAAATAATATAAAATAATAAAATGAAATAATAAACTAAATAAAATAAAACCATAAAATAAAAAATAAAATATTAGTGTTGTAATTTTGAATGCAATAAACTAAATAAAATAATATAAAATAATAAAATAAACAGAATAATATAATAAAATAAAATATCAGTGTCGTAATTTTGAACTGTCAATAAACAAACGCCGGTAGATTTTTAGTGGAGGACTGTAGCTCCTGAAAAAAACATTCAGCTACCTGACGAATTGGAAAGGATTGAGGTCCTCAGATTCTTGTCCGTCGCCGAACAAAACCTGATTTGCTGATTTCAACCCTTCAAAGAACACCAGCTGGCTTTGTTCCTTGGCTGTAAGGAGATTGACTCCCTAAAAGAAACAACAGGAAAAATGAGGAATTGATATTTTCTGAACAAGGAACACGGCTGAGGAATTTTTTCACAAGAACAGCCCACTGCGTGGGAATCCGAAACGGTTGTAAGTCCGAGGACCAGTCATCCGTGGCTTTTTTCAGCGCTGTTGGAACTTTGAATGATTGTAAAATGAACTGTCGTAATTCGAGAACTAGAAGTATTTCACCTGTTCCCAAGCATACACCGTCATTGTCTAAATCAGAAGTCCACAATCTGGGTGCCACAGTACACTACCGGAATGCGGCCTATTCGCAACCAGGCCGTGTAAGTATCTGGCTGCTGTCCTCGTGCACACAGCCCCACTCACGCGAGCATCACAGGTGATCGCAGTCCCACTCGCACAAGCCTCGCAGGGGATCACGGCCACACTCACACAAATGTCACAGGTGATCGCAGCACCACTCACGCGAGCCTTGCAGGTGATCACAGGACGACTTGCGCGAGCCTCATCGCACAGACTGAACTCACGCGAGCTTCACGGGTTATCGCAGCCACACTCGCCTCACAGCTGATCACCGGACAACCCGTGTGGGTGATCTCACTCGGACGAGGTGATCGCAGTCCCACTCGCACAAGCCTCGGGGGTGACCACGGGCCGACTCGCGCAAGCCTCATGAGTGATCACAGCCCTACTCTTGCGAGCCTCACAGGTTATCGCAGCCCAACTCGCACGAGCCGTGTGGGTAATCCCAACCGCACTCACCTCGCAGGTGATCGCAGGACAACTCGTGCGGGTGATACCACTCGGATGAGCCTCGTGGTGGATTGCAGCCCCCACTCATGCGAACGTCACAGGTGATCGCAGCTCCGGTTGCGCAGGATGCAGGATTACATGTGCGAGGAAGGGGCGCTCGAGCACGCATACATGCACGTACTCCTGTCCAGTCCACAGAACTTTCCCCACTCCAAACCACCAACCCTAAAAAGTTGGGCAACTATGGTCTGGATCCCTTAACCAATTAACCTGGTTGGACTTCGATTCCCAGAATTCCCCCAGCCAGGAATTCTGGGAGTTGAAGTCCATGAGGTTGTAAGTCGAGAATAGATAAATGTTTTTATAGATTAAAATAAAATCGGCTTACCAGCTTTTGTGCCACAGAGTTGAAATGGCTGAAGGATTGCGCGAAGGACAAAAAACAGACTTTGCAGCGGGCTGTGAAAGACAAAAAAAGAGAAAGACATTATGTAGATCATCCTCAAGTTATGCACCCCAAGGAAGCCAAGATTTATGTTGCTAAATGAATCATGTGCAAAGTGAGATTCGCCCCATTTCACGAGCTTTCCGGCTGCTGTTGTTAAGCGAATCACTTCCATTGTTCTGTCAGTAACACGGTTGCTCAGTGAATCTGGCTTCCTGCTGGCCAGAAGGTTGCAAAAGGGGATCTCGTAACCTTGGGATGCTGCAAATGTCGTAAATACGAGTCAGTGGCCTAGAGTCAGAATGTGAATCAAGTGATCACAGGAATTCTGCAACGGTCGTTAAGGGTGAACAATAGTCATTATTTTCAGGGCCATCCTAACGATCGCAAAGCGAACGGTCGTTAAGTCAAGGAGTTACTTGTACGTTGTTGTTTTTAACGATGGAAAATGGACGGAGCGAGGAAAGGGACGGAGGTGGGAGATACGGAGTTACGGAGTCCTTCCTTCCCCCGCCTACCTTTGAGGTAGAAGGAGAGAAAATGGTGGACCAGAAAACTGGCGTCCGTCTTCGTGGCACAAAGCAGAATCAATTTGCTCTGAAAAAGGAGAGAGAGATTTTATTTCTGGCAGTATATATAAAAAGAAAAATATTACAAAATTAAAAATATAGATCCCGCATGCATCGTATCAGGGTTAGTCCTCGAGTTATGACCAACATTGAGGCCAAAATAGAAACGTTGTTAAGTGAGTCACCCCTCCCCTTGTATGACTTTTCTTGCCATTGTTGTTAAATCAATCCTTGCCTTCGTCAAGTTAGGAACACCGTCATTCAGCGGATCCCCATTCCCCAGTGACGTTGCTGGTCATTAACAGCCATTAACAGTAACAGTGTTGGAAGGGACCTTGGAGGTCATCTAGAACAGTGGTCCCCAACCCCCGGTCCGCGGACCGGTGCCGGGCCGTGGAGTACCTGGCACCGGGCCGCGCAGCGGCCGGGGGACAGGAACGCTTCAGCGCAAAGGCTCCTGGGCCGTGCGCAATGGGCCTGCGCAAAGGCTCCTGGGCCGTGGCCCCACCCCTGCGCGCGCTCAGCGGGCCGCGGCGATAAAAAGGTTGGGGACCACTGATCTAGAACAACCCCTTCTCATGCAGGAGACTGTACTAGGGATTTGAACTGCCAAACTGCTGACCTTTCTGATCGACAAGCTCAGTGTCTTAGCCACTGAGCCACCTAGTCAGAAGGTCGCCAAAGGGGGATCGTGGGCCCCCGAGACGCTGCAACTGTCATCAATGTGAATCAAGTTCCACATTCCCGTTGTTAAACAAAACAGTTTTTCAGCTCTCTCTTACCACCTTTCTTGCCTCAGTTGTTAAGTGAATCACTGCCATTAAGTCAATCACATGGTCGTTAAGCGAATCCAGCTTTCCCGTTGGCTTGGCTCGTCCAAAGGTCGCAAAAGGGGGAATCATGTGACCCCCGGTGACACTGCGACCGTCGTCAATACGAATCCATTGCCAAATGTACGAATTTTGATCACGGGACCAAAACAACCTGCCATGGTCGTTAAGTGTGAGAAACGGTCATAAGTCACATTGAGGGCCACTGTCACTTCGAACGGTCACTAAATGAACTGTCATAAATCAAGGACTGCCTGCGTATATAAATAAATTACGAAATTGATTTAATTCTGGAAGGCTCAACTCATCTTAAAGGTAATTTAGGGTTTTAATGGGTTTTAATTGTAATTTAATTGTAATATAAAGATGGTCCTCATTTAGTGACCGTTCCAAGTTACGGCACTGAAAAAATGACCATTCCCCCCGCCCCCGATCACATGATTCAAATTCAAACACTTGGCAACCGACTCATATTTACGACCGTCGCAGTGTCCCAGGGTCACGTGGTCAAAATACAGCAATCTGGGAAAACCGACTCGCATTTATGACGGTTGCAGTGTGGCCAGGGAAGCCAACAATTCGTATCACAATCGTGTGACTTGCTTAACAATGGCCACAACTCACTTAACAACCGTGGCAAGAATAGTCTTAAAATGGGATGACACTCACTTCCCAAATGTCTGACTTAGCAACAGCCCAAATATTGGGCTCGGTGGCGTTCGTAGGTCAAGGAACGCCTGCCGATGCTTAGCCATCCAGAGTCTTTGGCTATCGAAATCATATACTGGTATATAAATGAATTAATTTTGTTTTAATTGAAATTTTATTTCAAAAGCCGGAGAAAAAACGAACGTGGCTTCCAGGAATTTATAGCAGAACAGAGACTTATTGATCAAATTTGAGATATCATCCATGTCCTTCACCAATCATTAACATGTGTCATGCAACACATCACGGTTTTTTAATCACGTAGGAAGTGGACTTTTGTCTGCAGTTTCAAACTTTCCAAGTCTAATTTGCAGAAATTCTTTTATTTATCCAATGTTTATTTCTGGAAATGAATGTAAAAATCTGATTTCTCCTCTTTATTTTATTTAAATCAATAAATGTACATACTTCTATTCCCAGAATTCCCCAGACACGAGTAGACTTGAACTGCCAGAATTTTCCCAGCCAATGAACGTTTTTAGTCTTGTTTTAAATTTTGATGTGGAGCAGTCCAGGTTTTATTATAAAATGGGCAGCTATATAAATACTTAATATCACACAACAAATAAAATCGAACAATAAAAAAAGAAAGTAAACCAAATAAAAAAACAAGGTAAAATGTGAAATAAATTAAAAAATAAAGTAGGAAAAAGGTTGAATGTTTGCCATCTTCAGGTATTTGTAAAAATAATAAAGGGAGATGCTATGTATAGCTTCATCCTGCAGTGGATAGACAATCGCTAGAATGAATGGATGAATACACACCAACACACACAAATGACACACAGCTATACATCTCCACCCCAGACCACCCCAATGATGCCCTTGCTGTGATGTCCCGTTGCCTGGAGGCCGTGCGGATCTGGATGGGGAGAAACAAGCTCAGACTCAACCCCTCCAAGACCGAGTGGCTGTGGCTTCCGGTGTCCCGGTATAGTCAGCTAGTACCATCACTGACAATAGGGGATGAGATCTTGCTCCCCACAGAGAGGGCCCGCAACTTGGGTGTCCTCCTGGATTCACGGCTATCTTTAGAAGATCATTTGACGGCCGTGGCCAGGGGTGCCTTTTATCAGGTTCGCCTGATCCGCCAGTTGCGTCCCTTTCTGGATCGGGACGCCTTGCGCACGGTCACTCATGCCCAAGTCACCTCCCATATGGACTACTGTAATGCTCTTTACATGGGGCTCCCCTTGAAAAGCACCCGGAGGCTCCAACTGGTCCAGAACGTAGCCGCGCGGGTGATTATGGGCACAGCTCGTTACGCCCATGTAACACCTCTCCTACGCGAGCTGCACTGGCTCCTGGTGGTCTTCCGGGTGCGATTCAAGGTGTTAGTTATCAGCTTTAAAGCGCTCCATGGCTTAGGACCTGGGTACCTACGAGACCGTCTTTTGCCAGCAATAGCCTCCCACCGACCAGTTCGTTCTCACAGGGAGGGACTACTCAGGGTACCGTCAGTCAAATTATGTCGACTGGCGACTCCCAGGGGGAGGGCCTTCTCTGTGGGGGCTCCAACCCTTTGGAATGAACTGCCCCCGGAGATACGGAATATCCCTGATCTCCGTGCTTTCCGCCGTGCCCTCAAGACCCTGATGTTCCAACAGTCGGGGCTAAACATATGAACATGTGAATGATTTTTTAAATGTGATCTAATTCTAGGTTTTATTTAATTGATCAAACTATGTTATAATTTTAATTAGCAATTTTATGATGTTTGTATGTCTATATTTTTCTTGACTGTACACCGCCTTGAGTCCTACGGGAGAAAGGTGGTATAGAAATATAATAAATAAATAAATAAATAAATAAATAAATAAATAAATAAATAAATAAATAAATAAATACACAAACACAGAAAAACAAACGCAAAAACACAGATATATACACACACACACACAAATGATCAAATAAAATGAAAAAATAAGATAAAAAATGAAATGATAAAATATTAAAATAAAATGTCTAATATACATATAATATATATATAAAATATGAAATGAAAATATATAATATAATAAATAAATATGATATGGTATTAGGATAGGATAGGATAAATGATATAAAAACAAGTTATAATTTATATATAAAATATATAAAATAGTTTTATATAATATAGTATACATAATATAATATATGATATATATGATATGATATATATGATATGATATATATGATATATGATATATAATATATATAATTAATGTAATGTAATGTAATATAATATAAATAATATAATATAATATAAATAATAATATAAATAATATAATATAATATAATATAATATAATATAATATAAATATAATATAATATAATATAATAAAATAATATAATATAATATAATAAATATAATATAATATAATATAATATAATATAATATTATAATTCTGGGAGCTGAAGTCTCCATGTGTTGCTGAGCTTAAGAAGCAGAGTTACACTACAATGCTCATCATCCCCTGCCAGCTCAGTCAGGGAGCATCCAGCAAGGACCAGGCCATCCCAATTTATAGCTTCACCCCCATCCCGGGCTTGCAAAACGACCCCCTGGATCCGTTTAGAGCCACTCCCCAAAGATTCCCACCCCAATGGGGCCACCAGGAGGGAAAGAACTACAGCGCCCGGCGTGCCTCGCTCCAAAAGCCAGTCGCGCAAGGCATCTCGGGAGCTGAATCGCAGGCCCGTCCGCTCGTCCGTCTCGCGCGGCGACGGCATCCGGGAGAGGCCAAGACAAGCCGGGACGCGTTCACTCACCCGCTCCGGCTCCTCCACGGAGGCCCCGAGCAGTTCGTTCAGCGCCACGAACATCCCGCCGGGACAGCCGCGGCTCCTTCCGAGCCGCGAGAGGAAACCCCGCTCGGGCGAGCGAACGAACGGTGACAGCAGGCCGCGGCCTACTCTAGGTGCACTGCGCATGCGCGCTCTGATGCGGCGCTGTTTCCCCGGCTCTGATCCAGTGGCGTGGCTTTCGCCCTCTGCCGTCAAGACAGCGGCACTGCAGCTGGCAACAGAAATTACCCTGGCTTGGAAAAATAATAATAATAATAATATTAAATCCGGCTGATTTTGCGATTCTTTTATTTCCATCGGCTTTTATGCTGTGTTTTGTTCTCAGATTGTATTTCCAAACAACCTACTCAGCCTCCTGTCCCCAAAGTTCCTTTTTCAGAGCGATCTGTGATTCAGAAATCCGAAATATTCCTAAATATACAAAGTACTACGCATCCTCACCTTAACGACGGTTCGTGTAGTGACCTAAACTACACTTACTTAGCAACAGAAATTTGGGGCATAATTCAAGGACTAGCTGTCTTACAGTTCGTCGTAAAGTCAGACAGATGCTTTGCTTTAAATTAAATTAAAATTAATATTAGCTATACTTGGCGAGTCAATTCAAAGCTTTCGCATTCGCATTAAAGTATTTTATTCATTACTCTGATATAAGTGAATTGTTGCTCTACAAATTGACAACCTTGTTGTGTTTTCCTGACTTACAACGATTGCCCAGCGTCTTTGAAGAGTTTCCTAGAATCCAATTTTCCAACCCCTTCACTGACTTCTCCAAACCATCTGCAATTTGGATTTTAAAAAATGGACAATCTGTGTTTCTAGTCCTCAAGGATTAGGTCTGCTGAAATCTCAGCATTGAAGGAAGCCCCTCCCTTTCTTACTGGCAGAGAGTGGGAGAGGGGGGAGAAATTCTTCTGTCTTCTGCTCCGGGTTTTTTTCCCCTTGAAAGAAATATTCTGCAGCAGGTTTACTAACAGAGGTAATAATTGCATTTTATATGTTGGCTCCAGTCTGCTGTGGTAAGAAATAGAATAGAAAAATTATAGAATAGTGTATAGAAAAGAGAAAATTAGAAGAGAAGAGAAGAGATAACATTATTGTCACTTTGAATGTATGTTTTTAAATTGAAATTTCGTTACATACCGTTTTTTGAGTTTTGTGAGTGAGGTACACACATTTTAGCATTGCCAAAGTCTGCTAAAGAACGCTGAAAAACTGCACAACTGCAATAAAAAAATGACTATTTTTTTAGCACAGCAAATTACTGAATTGATCCCCTAAGGGTGGCTAATTTGAATTGGACAAAGGTCCAATTTGGCAACTTATCCAGATCTGGGACCTTCATGTGCTTGGGACATCAACTCCCATGTTCCTTAAAATGCAGCTTGTAGGAGCTGAAATCCATACCGGCTGAATGCCTACACTTTAGAGGAGTTGCAACAGAAAGTGTGGTTGCCAGATCAGCCGTTCTCTCCATGCTATTCCATAACTAGCCAGAAGGGGGAGGCGGTGGAATATATTTTGCTATCCTTCAGAGGCGCTCAAGGCAATATAGGTAACAGTAACAGAGTTGGAAGGGACCTTGGAGGTCATCTAGTCCAACCCCCTGCTCACGCAGGAGACCTATACTAGGGATTCGAACTGCCAAACTGCTGACCTTTCTGATCGACAACTTCAGTGTCTTAGCCACTGAGCCACCGTAGCCCTCAACTTATGACCAATTCCTTAGTTATGACAGACAGACCTGGGCTAAAACCGAGATTCAAAGTTGGGATTTCCAAAGTCATGTGAATTTTCCAGCCAGCATGTTTTACTAATTGGTTGGGTGGACTTCAACTCCCAGAATCCCCCAGCCAGGATGCTTTAAGAGAGATGGACTCCGACTCCCCGAGTTCCATGCTGGCTGGGGAATGCTGGGAGCTGAAGTCCACCCAACCAATTAGTATTAATTTAACCTAAGCCTAATTTTTCATTCATTTTCATCCCCCTTCGTAGCTTGTCTCATCTCCCTCCTTTTCCCTGATTTCTAAGTCGCGAGAGATCCAAGCCACGGCATTTTTAAAAAATGTTTATTATTATTATTATCATCGTCGCCATTATTATCTCGAGATCTTCACTTTTTTTTTGTTCCCACATTTTAAAACCGGTTTCTCAAAAAAAAAAAGAAAAGAAAAGAAAAAGAAAATTAAAGGAAAAAAAAGGAGGCTGGAGTGATGTACAAATTAAAAACAGAAAAATGAAAATCAGTCGAGCCGCAGCGAACGGTTAGAAATCACAGGGGTGGGAGGGGGCCAGGGTGTGGGGGTGGGCACGGAATGGGGGGCAGGAAGGGATGAAGCCAACTAACCCGGGCAATATATACAGACAGGGACAGACCAAGAAATCAATGCACACCATTCATTAGGGAAAGCGGGGAGCGGACACTGCCAGAATTGTCTTCAGGCCATTTTTCTTTAATAAGGTTTCCTTTTCTTTTTTCCGTACGAAATACATCAAAGCATGCGATGACGTCGGCAGGGGGGAAAAAATTAAAAATCGAACCAAAACCCATAAAAATTGCACTCTGGATGAGAGGAAGGGTCTCTCGTGCATCCCAATTTTATTTTTGTGTTCCCTTTAATTTCCGCCCACCCACCCACCCTACGGCATCGTCTTTCGTCCCAGCTCTTTTTTGTCGGATCTTCAAGTCAGATTGTTCTGCAAACAGTTCACTTCTGCATCGTCTGGATTGCTTTTCCTGTTATCCAGCTTGGGCGAGGTGGAATTCTGAATGTTAAACGCTTCGTCGTCTTTGAGGCAGGATTTCAAGGGGTCCTGGAGTTTGTGGGGGGCACTGGGATCATCCTAAACGGATGGGGGATGGGACAGGACAGGAAGCGGGAGAGAGAAAGATCAGTTAGTTTCCAGGTGTCATCAGAACGAATCGGGGAGATGGTCGTACGGGACTCGCCCATTCCCTTCGAACCTGCTCTCAAACCCAGCAGCTACAAGATATGTGAACTTCAACTCCCAGAACTCCTCATGGCAGCTGTGGAATTCTGGGAGTCGAAGTCCACCCACTTTTTTGAGTCACGAAGGTTGAGAAACTCAGCTCGAAAGAATGCCCGTCCCGCCCTTGCCAGGTGCCTGGACTTCAACTCCCAGCATTCCTGATATCGGCTAGGGAATTCTGGGAGTTGTAGTCCACCTGTCTTCAAGTTGCCAAGGGGGAGAAACACTGCTTCTAGTTTATTTCTTCCCCAAAACAGGGTGGAATAGCTCCCGAGTCGTTTCATGCCTTTAGTACAGGTAGTCCTCGTTTAGTGACCGTTCGAAGTTACACCAGCAAAGAAAAAAGTGACTTATGACCATTTTTCACGCTTACGACCATCACAACATCCCCACGGTCCTGCGATCCAACTTCAGATGATTGGCAACCAGCTCGTATTTATGACGGTCGCAGTGTCCCGGGGTCACGTGATCTCCCTTTCGCGACCTTCCGATGAGCAACGTCAAAGGGGGAGCCTGATTCACTTAATGACCATGTAACTCACTTAACAATGACAGGGATGCACTTAACAGCCGTGGCAAGACAGGCCGTAGCATGGGGCGCAGCTCACTTTGAACAAACATCTGGCTTAGTGACGGGAGATGTGGGGCTGAATTGCGGTCGTAAGGCGAGGAGTACCTGTATATATCCTAGCCAGGATGATATGTGCTTGCGCCGGCTTCTCCTTTCGATGCTGAAAACTGCCCTCGGACGACAAACATGCAATTTCATTGCAACTCCTTAAAGCAGCGCTGTCTTTTTTCTCAGGAAAGGACAGTGCTGCTTTAAAGAGCAGCTAATTACTGCCCTCCCAAGTGCAGTTTCTTTTTTTCTTTTTGCAACCCAAGCCGTGTGCAGCCTTAGGGTCGCTCCAAGGACGGAACCGGAAGCGGCGATGCAGTTGTGAACATGCCCATGCGTTGGGTTATTCCTTGGACCCATCTCAACCCTTCCCTCTCTCTCTCTCTCTCTCTCTCTCTTCTCTCCTACCCTCTCCTCTCCTCCTCTCCCCTCTCTCCTTTCTTCCCCCTTTCTCCTCTCCTCTCTCCTTCATTCCATCCTACTTCCCTCCCACTGTCTCCTCTCCTCCTCCTCTTCCCTTTCTTCCCACTCTACTCTCTCCCTCCCTTTTCTCTCCTCTCCTTCACTCCTTCCTTCTTCCTTCCCTGTCTCCTCTCCACTCCTCCCAGGTTCCTACTTTCTTTCCTCCCTCTCCTCTCCTCGTCTTCCTCCACTCCTTTCTTCCCCTCTCCTCTCTCTCCCTTTCCTCTCCTCCCTCCTTCATTCCTTCCTACTTCCCTCCCACCCTCTCTATCCCTTCCTTTCTCCCTCCCTCCTTCTCCCTCCCTGTCCTATTTCCTTCCCTCCCTCTCCTTTCCTCTCCTCTCCTCCCATCCCCTTTCCATCCTCTCTTCTGTTCTCCTCCTCTGCCCTCTCCTTTCTTCTCCTCCCATTCCCATCCCTCCTCTCCTTTTTTTCTCCTCTCTTCTCCTCCCTCCCCTTCCCTCCCCTCTCCTCCTTAGGACACCAGCAACTGCAGAGAAGGGAGGCAGCCAATGCCCCCCAGCATTCTCCCACACCCACTCCTGAATTCCCAGTTCACCCAGTGTAGCTTCTGGCCAGGTACACACAGCCATCCACCACGACATCACGGATGAGGATGGAGACAAGCAGACGGGGGCAGAAGACACACGGACCCTGTGGAAGGGGGCTTAGACCCACTGCAGTGCCAGGGGAAAGAGAGGGGTGGGTAGACTGAAGAGAGGTGGGCAGGCTCCCCCAACGTCCCTCCCCTAAGATTTAAGGGCAGAGAGCAGGAGATTAGTAACCTTCATCCAAGCATTGATACCAATGATGGTTAGGAGGCCCTCAATATGTTCTCATGAAGTTTCCTTCCAAATCATGTGTCCTTCAGATGTTTAGAATTCAGTTCCCAGAATCCCCCAGCCAGCATGGCCTTTGCTGGTCATTCTGGACCTATCTTCTTCTCCCCACATCTTGATCATATCCCTCAATCTAAAGATAGCCTTGGAACTGAGAAAGGAACTTGTCCGATGCAATTGCCAAGGCAGTCAAGGATTGCCCTCAAAGCGAGAATCCTAAGCAGGCTTCCTGTGAGTTCGGTATAAATTCATCGGGATGCTGTTTGGGCAGCCCCAGTTTCCCCTGAAGCCCTTGAAATGAGGGGGT